ATGTTTTTCTACTGTTTTTATCCCCATTATAAAGTAAGTTGTGCATAATATAGTTTCCACTCATCATTAAATTCTTTGGCTGGTTTTCTATTTACATAATTAATTACTGAATAGTCAGCCAGCTTGTTTTTCCAGTCTTCAATAGCTTGGTTTTGTTCTGCTTTACATTTTGAAGCAATTAAACCTATAGCAGCAGTTATGTATTTAAATAATTCTACTGTGTTCCTTGGCAAAGTTTCTGGAACAGTATTCCACAGCATGGTCTTAGCAGTCATGGAAAAACTGATTTTCAAAATTTTCTGTATTTCTGCATGTATTTCATTCCAATGTTAAAAAAAAAATCACATGACCATCACATGTGGTAAAAAGTTGTGTTTACTTCTTTACATTTCCAGCACTTCCCAGAGTAATTCTTATTCATTTTCTCTATATCTTTTGGATTAATATACCACCAAAAAGCATCTTGTATCAGTTTTCTCTCAGTGCTTGGTTATAAATTTTATATCCTCCTTCCATAAAGTTTCCCATTGATTGAATGGTATTTCTTTCTGAAATTCTTCATCCAATTTATTATGCATATTTTAACTTGCTCAGTCTCAGTATTATGTTGGAGTAGTTGCTTATAAATTCATCCTAGTAAATGACCTTTTTGCTGTCTAATCAGATTTTCAAAATCTGTCAGGTCTCTTAAAGTACCTTTCCCGTTTGGATTTCTCTCCGTAGTCTTGATACCAGTTGGTAGTAAAGAAGCCATTTTATATTCTTCCTTAATCTTTAGTTCTTGCCATGGCTTAATTCCTCCATGGTGATCAATCATGTCTCTATATGCTATAAAATCACTACTTTCCTCAGGTACTTATCATAATATGCTTCAATTGGAGACATCAGCAGAGAAATTGGAGGACTCCTGTATGGTAGGGCAGGCTCAGAGTAAGTGACTGGCCCAAAGTCACCCAGTGAGCTTCATGATTAAGGAGGAACTTGAATATAGCTCTTCCCAGTCCCAGATTCTACTGGCTTTCTTTCAAGGCTAAGAGAAGGGTGATGACAGCTAGAATGGAATGGTAGTGATCAGCAGGGGTCATGACACAAAATTAGCAAGTGGCTGAATCATGCATAGAAACACACACAAACTTGCTAGTATTTATTTACATTTCAGCAGTGTTAGGAAAAATAATGAGATAAACGGTGCCTTCGAGCACATGCAGAATGCTTTTTTTCCTAAACATTCAGCAATACATTCACCCCTCTCCACACATTTAACAGTGATGGAATACGTCTTCACAGAGAATAAAGTCTCACTATTTTCTTTTAGAGATTAGAAGGGTTGGCCAAGCTTACTGAATGAAAGCTAACAACCTGATCTCGTATCTGTTCCAGTCCACACAACAATCCTCTTAATATCCTCAGCAACTCTTCATAAAATGTGTGTGTGTGGGGGGGGGGGGGGGGGTTCACATTATCTTCTACCTCCTCCATGTTATGTACAAGCTTCCATTGCTTTCTCCTCCCCATAACTTAATTTGTGTCAACAACTCAACAAAATTCAGGTAATAGATTTGTTTTCAATACTAGAGCTAAGTTATGAATAAGCGTCAGTACATCTAGAGGGCATGCAAAACAAATACAAACAAAGAAACCCACACATGGCAAAGCAAGTATACAGTGGGCTGACAGTATAGCATGAGACATGCAATTTATTGAACCTGTAATACTATTTTCACAATTCAGGACTTATTTATCAGTAAACATGCAGACAATCAGGTTGCAATTCATTCTGTAAAAGTTACTTGGGCTTGAAAATGTATGTGCAATTTGCTGAAAGTAAAAACCACTAAAGATAATGGGGCTGAAAGAACTGTATAACTAAAAATTGCCCCATGTTTTTATTAGAGCTGGTCATTCCACTGCTGGATAATAACTGACAAAATAACTCAAGATTCCTTCCTCTGCAATCATGTAAACCCATTTTTTCAAAGAGTTGGGGGAGGAGGAAGAGAAAGTGAAATCAGCTTTCTGTTTGCAAAAAGTCAAACAGAGTTCAGAACTTCACTTTCCTACTATCCTTACTTCTTGAGAATTTTCCAAGACTTACTCTGGATGGAGCAAAGTAACACCAGGATAGGTGATAAAAGATGAGGAAAAGAAGAATGGTCAGTGGAAACAGAGAGAGAAGAAAGGGAATTTCCCAAGCCAGGTGGCCCCTTTCAGAGGGACAACACTTCAGAGAAATTTGGAAAAGCTGTATATACCTTAATTAAGAAATGAGCTGGGTGAGAGCTTTTTAAAAGCTGTAACCCTTACTTAAAAGCCCTGTGCCTGCTGCTAGTACCATGAGGCATTCTGCATGTAGCCTCACCAGCATTTACCACATCATGTCATTACATAATTCTAACCTTCTGTTTGGTATAATATTACACTTGGAGTTATGGGGAAACATTAAAACTGGACATGGAAAAAGAAGCATGAGGATACTAATGAAATCCTTGCTCTGACAAAGGCATTAAAATTCTGCAGAATCCAGAAGTTCCCAGTCTGAGCAGTAAAATCAGTTGCTGGAGGAAATACTAGTACTGCACAGATAACTCAACCTGCCCTTCTCCCTCCTTCTTCAGACTTTCATTGCAGACAAACCCCTAGCAATGCGCATGCAAAACAGAAACATAGGGAGAGAGAGAAAAATCTTTGAACAGGTTGGAGAGGGGGCACTATCGCCTGTAATTTAAAGGGTCTTCATTCTCAACCTCTAATGGAATGCTAAGGGGATGAATCCTATTGTTTTCTAGTTGCTGCAAGTCTATGGAACTCTCAGGAAAAGACAAGCTAATATTAAGGCAGGTGCCATCACGGAGGAGCTCAAAAGAGGGCACAGGAGGAAAGTTTGAAGGCAAGTGTCTTGGTATGCCTTCTCATAATATACATGGTGACTAGAAAGCAAAGCAGACTATAGGAGATCTCCCACCATATAATTACATAGTTGCAATTTCAGCAAAGCATACCACAGACCTCCTATACAACAAAATAGTTATTATATGTTATTATTATATAAACAGTAAGCTGTTTATATATATTAATACCACCCAATTTATCCTATCTTTTAAGCACAACATATTTGCATAAAAAACCCTTCTGACAAGGGCTGGGAATTCCTGACTTCTGTTTGAGGTAATTAGCATCATTACTAGCATTTTTATGACAGAGGAGGGAATGAGAATTGAGAGGTGAACTCATTTCAACCTGCATCTTTGTCCTTCTCCTTTTCAAAAGAAGGATGTGCGGCTGAAGCTGCACTGTGGCTTTGCTGCTTTAACAGAAGCCAGATGTTCCCAAGTAGATGTAAGGCTTGGAAAAAGGGTTGTAGGTCAGTGGACATTAACCTGCTCTGCATACACCAAGATCAAAATTCAGTCCCTGAATTTTTACTAAATAATTCTACAGATGCAAGCTACAGAAAGTAAATTCATTTATGTACAAAGTACAAAAGAGTACCAGTGTCTTAAAAAGTTTAGCCTTTTTCAGCCATCTCTGCTGTCTTATATGGTGACTATCAACTATGCAGCCTGTTTCTTAAATATGATCTTAGAAACAATGTATTTGTCCTTATGTTGTTTCCACATTCTTCAGATTCATTGGTTTGGATAGTGATGTAGTCAGAAAACCAAAAAATGCTGAAGTAAGCAAACTAGAAACCCACTTATGTTTTAATAGATTCCTTTCTTCCCACCTTCCAAATGCCATTTGTTCAGACACAGTTAGCATCCTAATCTAGTCTGTGTCTGACAAGTAGAATTTTCTGTGCTGGCTTCAGAATGAGACACACTAAAAAGTTTACTGCAACCAATTTCTGGTGGAGAAAGTGCATAGCCCTTTATGTGCCACCTGAAAACTTTTAAGTAGAATCAAAAGCTAAAGGTAGTATCACTGACTATGCAGAAATCCTACTTCATTTGATCCAATTTACTCCCTGCTAACTATGGATAGGAATGCATCCTGAATGTCAACACCACTTATATCATGAAATATCCCTTTTAAGGAGTCAAAGAGAAAGCAGATCTAAGACTACTAGTGAAGGCAGCTACTTTTCTGTCACAAAAAGGAGTAAAACATTCCTCTAGGTGCCAGGTGCCTCCATTCTATTGCTGCTTTCAGGTATGCAATCCCCATTATACAAAGCAAATTGGTGACTGCTCAACAGTATGTATTCCACTTGCACAGAGGTGGAAAACTCCTTTAAGTGTGATGGCGAAGTTCCATTTTGGAAAAGCTTTTGGGACCACCTTTCAGTGGTGGAAGGAACTGACGGCAAAATAGCAAAGGCCAATATACAAAAACTACCAGCAGACTGTAGCATAAAGCACTTACTGTCAGTAACTAAGCCTCAGAGAAGCATCACAACTCTTTAGAATGAGGAAAACCTGCAAAAGCTGGGGAACCACCAAATTATTTTCACTCGGAGGAAGTTGGGCAGAAAAGAGCGTTTAAGTTCCTGGGGATATGGGGATTCTATGAGGACTGGATTTAGCTTCTAGGTCTGAGGATACCTACCCCTGCGCTGCAGTGCTTAACTGTGAGCAGATCTGTTGATAGGAAACTGTAGCTCTTCCCTACCAGCAAGTCTTCTCACATGCAGGCTACCAGAAATGGTTCATGCACACAAAAAAATAGTAGGCTACTTGAAATGGTCCATGCTATTCCTTGGAGAAATGTGCCTGCCAAGTATGATGTTATGTTAAGAGATTGCTTTTGTGGCTATGTTTAGAAAGGCATTATGATTAAATAATGATAAATACACCTTGGAGCTTTGTTGATAGCTGGTAAAAACATCTTTTGATAAAATAAATACAGAAATTAAACATCCTTAATTCTCCAATGTTTGCTTAGTGAATGTACCATTACATTCCCTTCCCATGTGACAAATTTCTCATAGGCTGAGTAGAGTAGATAAGGAGAAAAGCTGTGCATCAGTCTCTTGTTAAATAACTAAAGCCACATTACTTGTGGGTAGCGGTGCTGCTTCTTTGTGATGTCATTGCTGCCATAGAAACCATGTGTGCACACAAGTGAAAATGACATCTGGCAGCAGAAGAGCATGGAAAGTTGAGAGAGGAGGCAACATCTTCAGTCTGGCAGGGTCATCAAAGCTGCTCAGCTGAAAAAGAACATCCTCAACAGTCCTAGGTATAATTCCACTTCCAAACATCAAAGGATGTCTCAGGAAGTTGATTGGTTACACAGCCAAGCAGGTGTGTGTAAGGTAGATCTCTACAATCCTGATGGAGGGAAAGACCAGGAACGCAAAGTGATTTGTTTTGTTGATGTCTCCAGCCTGAACATAAAAAAAACAGATGATACAGGCAAAGATGCTGCTGGCCAGTCTAAACCGAATGAACCTGTCACAGGACTTGATCTGGGAAAAATGCAGGACAAAGAAGTCATTGTAATAAAAGACAGTGACACACCAGAACAGTCTAAGACTGAAGGAGCAGTTTGTCTGTTCAAACAAGGTTCAACTGAAGAACTCAATGTTGTGTCCTGGCTCTTTGATGACCTGCAAAAATATGCATGTGGGTTCCAACATGCACTGACCCCTTCAGGTACCTCTCGTCAACAAAAGCCATCAGCAGCTGACAAGATGTCCCAGAACAACAACAACACCGCTTTCAAGTCTTCTGAAGGTCAGAAAGGACCTGCAGATGAAGTAGCAAGCACTGTGCAAAAACTCTGTTCTTTGGTTATGCAAATGGCAAGTAAAGAGATCTCTGAAAATCTGGAAGATGCGGCCAGTAAATGTATACGTCAGGCAATTTATGCTACCAAAGATGGGAAAGCACTTAATCCCTCTGGTTCTGTAAGTAAGGTAGCATCTAAGATGGTAAATGATACTATGGAAAATGTCCAGGATGCCAGCTGTAAGTCATCTCAAGACAAGATTTCGGGCAAGAAAGAAGACGGGAAAGGAGGCCCCAAGAAAACCTCTCTCTTTTATGGTGAGGTATGTTCCAATCAAAGTGAATCCATGCCAGATGATGAAGGAAAGCCAATGGCACATGCCCATTTGATACACCCAAGGAAACAGTCAGCTCGTAATGATGGTGGCTCTTTTAACAAAGGGCTAATGGTATATGCAAACAAAAATGCTAAGGATATGACTTTCTCATTTGTGAATGCCACAAAAATTCACAAGGGTAGGCAGCCACTCCCAGCTTGTGTGGTTTTGAAAAGAGTGTTTCTCAAACACACAAAGGATGTCATATCAGACTTAATTGACTCTACCATGAAAAATCTACATAATGTCACTGGGGTCCTCATGACAGACTCAGACTTTGTTACTACAGTGAAGAAAAATCTCTTCAATGCAGGAACCCAGAAATCAACTGAAATTTTAGAAGCAATGGTATTAAGGATGTATAATGCTTTGATGTCAGAAACTAAGGAGAAAGGGCATAGTCTTGTATACTCTTTACTGAAAACAGGATGTTCATTAGACCCTAATTCTCCAAATATGCACTTTGCATCTTTGAAAGGTGGATTACATATGAGGGAAAAGGTAAAGCAAGAGGGAGGACAGTCTTCAGTCCAGAAAGTAGGCGAGACAATAATTAAGGATGGAATTAACATGCTGCGATCAAAAGCAGGAGGCAAAGGTTCAGACAGGGGATGTCATGACAAGAGGCCAGAAAAAAGTAGCTCCACAACTGAGTTTTTAGCAAAAGATCTCATTTTGACAGCTTTAATGTTGATACAGCAACATCTGCTAACTCAATACAAGGAACCAACTGAAACTAGCACATCTTCATATGGGTATTTTGAAAAGGGTGGCAAACATGGTTCTAAATCTCATGGCTGCAAGGGTGATCCACAACAACAAGAATACCAGAGGGGTGAAATACAAAGTGCCCTCCTATCAATCATCCAGAAGGTCCTACAAGAGGCTGGTTTCAGTGTAGATGAGTGCGAAGTAAGCAGGAGTTTCAAACCAAGCTCATTTGATGAGAAGCCTACCAGGAAGTCCTCATCTAAACACTATGGTTCAGATGTAGATTCTGAAAACATGGATCAAATAAACAAGAAATTCATTGATCAGCTGATGGAATCTGTGATGAAGCTTTGTATGTACATGACTAAAAGCCCTGATTTTGTTGTTGAAGATTACTCTGATGATCAAGCTACATACTTTACCGCAAGAAACAAAGGTGTATCAACTCCAGATTCAATGACATCCCAGAAACCTCCACGACCTACTAATATTGGAAAACCACTTGTGCCTGCTGGTTCTGAAGTGATAGTGAACAACCAGACCTCCAACACCAGCTCACAGAACCGAGAGCTCCAGGCTGTCCTCCAGTGGATGGCTGCCTCCCACTTCCAAGTGCCTAATCTCACATTCATGCATGAGAATGATGAGGAACTAAAGAAGCTTCCTCAATTGGCTGATAAAGCAGCCAAGAAAGGTGCAAGTGTGGGGGATATTTTGCAGGAGGTAATGAGGTATTTTGAAAAACAACAGGTTGATGCCGCTGTGGGAAACATGCCTCGTAGCGGACTTCTTGACTGGTTGCTTGCTAATCTGTAGACAAGTGCCAACACCTCCCTCTCATTACTTCCACCCAGCGGTGTCATCTTAATTACCGGATGGAATAACAATACAGCTCATTTTCCATAGACAACAGTTGATCAAATTCCACAGGCTGTAACACTAGCTGGGCAAAAATCACCAATAAAAAATACAAATGTCAACTGTTACTATTTGTTTATTCATCTATTATATATATATAAATATATATATAAATGGATAAAATGGAAGAGTGAAACCACACAAGAGGGGGATTTTACTGTATTGTTATCACTGTAGTTCATAGATCAACCCTGTGGTTCCACCTTTAAATTAATTCCTCACTATGAAGCATCAGACAATATGCCCACTCCTTTAAGACTGATTATAGAGCCGTCCCCTTTTTCTTTTTTCCCACCTCACCAGCTAAAACAAACCATGGGGTTGTCTACAATTTGATCTAGCAAGGCTCCCCATGAATTGCAATGGGTCTACCTTATTTATTTATAAAATTTGTATGCCGTCCATTACTTGCGTGTCTGGATGGCTTACAACATAGATCAAGATAAAATAGATAAATTGACAAATCCACTCTGGTTGCAATTAATAAAATACAAACAATAAAATCTAATTCCCATTAAAACATAATAAATATTGATTAAATAAAAAGGTCTTGACCTGGTGGCGAAAAACATACGACGGCGCCAGGCGGACCTCTCTGGGGAGCGCATTCCATAGTCGGGGCGCCACCACAGAGAAGGCCCTCCTCCGGGTACTCTGTCTCCTAACGTCTTTCACAGAGGGTTCCCGGAGGAGGGCTTCTGTTGCCGATGTCAGGGGGCGGGAGGACAAATAAGGAAAAAGGCGTTCCTTTAGGTATCCTGGTCCCAAGCCATTTAGGGCTTTATAGGTAATAACCAGCACCTTGAATTGAGCCCAGGCTTTGATGAGAAGCCAATGGAGCTGGTAGAGGATTGGAGTTATATGAGAACAACGCCCAGTCCCCAACAGCATCCTGGCAGCTCTATTTTGTACCATCTGAAGTATCCAGACTTTCTTCAAGGGCGGCCCCTTTCAATGTAAAGCATGTTACAGAAATCCAACCGGGAAGTAACCAATGCATGTGTTACTGTTGCTAGGCAATCCTCCTCTAGGTAGGGATACAGCTGATAGATCAGCCGAAGCTGGAGGAGAGCGCTCCTCGCCACTGCTGTCACTTGGGTTTCCAAGGACAGCTCCGGGTCAAGGAGCACTCCCAAGCTCTGGACCCTGTCCTTTAGAGGGAGTGCAACTCCGTCCAGGGCAGGGCCCAAGTCACCTCCCCAGGAGCTCGAATCACCCACCAACAGAACCTCCATCTTATCTGGATTGAGCTTCAGTTTATTGGCCCTCATCCAGCCCATTACCTCGGCCAGGCATCGGTTCGGTACAGCCACTGCCTCAGCCACTGCCTCACCTGGATTAGTTGAAAAGGAGAGGTAGAGCTGGGTTTCATCAGCATACTGATGACTGCAGTCCAAACCTCCTGATGACCTCTCCCAGCGGTTTCATGTAGATGTTAAATAGCAAGGGGGAAAAAATGGAACCCTGCGATACTCCATGGCAGAGTTACCATGGCACAGAGCCAGAGTCCCCCAGCACCACCTTCTGGAATCGGCTGGCAAGGTAGGAGCGGAACCACTGCCAAGCAGTGTCTCCTACCCAGTCAATCCCACCAGCCTATCCAGGAGGATACCATGGTTGATGGTATCGAAAGCCACTGAGAGGTCCAGGAGAACCAACAGGGATGTACTTCCTGTCTCTCTCCCTGCACAGGTCATCATACAGGGCGACCAAGGCAGATTCAGTGCCATAACCGGGTCTGAAGCCGGACTGAAATGGGTCCAGATAATTAGTTTCATCCAAGAGTACCTAGAGTTGTCCCGCCACCACTTGTTCCAACATCTTGCTCAGAAACGGGATGTTGGCCACCGGTCTATAATTGGCGGCCATCTCTGGATCCAGAGATGCCTTCTTTAGGACAGGCCTGATTACCGCCTTCTTTAAAGGAGCGGGCACCCGGCCATCCCTCAGAGAGGCGTTAATAACCTCTAAGATCCAGGAGCCAATCCTGTGTTTGGCTTTGGACAGCAGCCATGAAGGGCAAGGGTCAAGTAATCAGGTGGTAGGGCGTACTTGTCCACATCATCGGCCGCATTAACTGAAATTCATCCAATTAGGACTAATACCAGATATAATCCACTGCCCATTACATGAACAAGTTTTGGGTATAAACAGATCTTGTTTCCAAGCCTTCCCCAACATAATGCCCTCCAGACGTTTTGGATTACAACCCCTAACTAGCATGGTCAATGGGTCAGGGATTATGGGAATTGTAATCCATAATATCTGGAGTGCATTGTGTTGTAAAAGGTGGAACTAGATTTACATAGCATAATGAAAACAGACATTTTCAATTATATAAAATATAGCTTTTCTTTTGCCAACTTGTTATTGCTTAGTTAGATAAGACAGAATGGTAAAAGTACAGGAACCACCATGATGACTCAAGATTACATGTTGGCCTTACAACAAGTTCAAACTTGCATCTCTCTTTGGGGTAGGATTCACCAAGGTTGCACATGGTACACCATTCCTACACATGTAGGAATGCAATGTTGCATCTTTTCACATTACAATAATAACACATTCTATGCCTCCTTTTAAGCTGTTGCTCATAAGAAAGCTTACTGTAATCTAAAATGCATTACTATTAATGCTTTCAAACAGCCAAACTGCATAGTTCCAAGATTCTAGTGTTATTGGTTCATGTTTTAAAATAAGTTCACCCTTCTGTGGAAGATTGGGCTTCCTGCTCTATATATTCTGATGAACAACAATGTTGTATACAGACAGAGTAGAATTGCATGCTGACTTCTCACAATGGCTCTGTGGAATGGATACATATATATGATCATACAATCTAAATGAGCTCACCTGAGTAGCTGCAGACTGACAAGGAAACGAAGATGATGACGACACAACAGGAATGTCAGACTGGACAGCCGCCACAGTGGTAGCAGGTGTAAAAATAAGCTGTGAAGGCAATAAAATGAAAATTTAAAGGCACACTGTGCCATGGATGTACACACAGCTAAATAAAATATTTGGGTCAGCTTTCTCAAAAAAGTAGGTATTTTCTGTAAAATCTCAGAACGACTTTTTAATATCTCTGACTGGTTCAACTATCTCATCATTTCAGACAATTCTTTTACCACATTCCCCCCAAAAACTATTCAATTAAGTGCCCCTTTTAATTATATTGGAACTTAATTAAAAGGAAACACACAGGCAGAGGACAACTTTACTAGAGCTAGACAACACTTGAAACAAGCCATTTCAGTTTTAGTAGCCACCTTCATTCAGCCTATGAAATAATTTTGATTAACATCACTGTACTGCTTGACTATCATTAAAAATCATCCCCTAGCTACATGCAGATATAATCTACCCCTTATCTACAGGAACAGGCTGTAGGATCCCCTTGAGAGATCAGTATCAAATCCTGGACTCAAGTCCTTGCTATGGGCCAAACTAGACATGTGGTGAACTCTCTGAACAAAATTAACAGACATGTTTTAAAACTGCAAATAGTAGCCACTATGGATGAGAAACGTGTGTTACAGAGAAGGGAAGCAGTGTCAAGATTGCAGATTTTAATCCATCCCCTCATACCATAGTCCCAATGAAACCACTGCCCCCAAAGATATTTGGAACAGATTAAAGAAACATGAAGACAGGCAGGGTTGCCTTAAGTTGGAGAAGACTTGATGGCACATAACAACAACAATTGTGAAATATGAAATATGCAAGTCATAACCACTATCACCATGTCGCAGGGTCTATCTCCTAGGAAAGACATAGAGCCCTGTAGTACCAGAAAGATCAGCCAATAGAAAACACATTATAAATTAATTGGTTTCTCCAAGAATTAGGGAAGAAGACAGAGTATGAACACCTCACACTGGAGCAGATGAGACCATAAAAAGCATTATCATAAAGCAAAGGGGTAGCATTTCAGAGATCCTTGGACAAGCACGGTCTGCCACAAAGTGATCCAACAGCTACTGTCTCTTACAAGTTCTCGAGAGTCAAGGCACAGTGTAAAGTTTTGGGGAGAGGTGCATACTTTCACATACACTTGACCTAGAAAAACAGCTTCATGAGTCACATAACATAGACAAACATATGGTAGATTAATAGGGTTTGAATTTAAAATTAATCTGAATGTTTGCATGTTTTAAGTAAAAATGTCTCACTCCCAGTTTCAACCCAACAAGAAGCAGGCAGCGAAGTTAGTGAAGCAATACACATTTCCACCAAGTCTGAATCAGATTTCCTTGCAATTCATGCTTTTTAACATCTGCATGAAACCACTGGGAGAGGTCAACAAGAGGTTTGGGCTGAAGTGCCAGCAATATGCTGATGATACTCAGTTCCACCTCTCTTTTGCGTCTAATCCAGGTGAGGCAGCGGATGTTCTGAACTGATGCCTGAGCTTGATAATGGACTGGATGAGGGTCAATAAACTGAAACTTAATCCAGACAAAACAGAGGTGCTGTTAGTAGGGATTTCACCTGACAGGTTGGAGGGGCTTTCCCGTTTTGGATGGGGGTACACTTCCCCTCAGGGATCAGGTTTGCAATTTGGGGGTACTCCTGGATGGGGGTCTATCCCTGGAGGCCCAGGTGGACTCGGTGTCCAGAGGTGCTTTCCTCCAGCTGCATCAGATTTGGAGGAAACATCAAAAATTGATTACTGTAATGCATTCTACATGGGGCTTCCTTTGAAGACTGTCAGGCAATTACAACTGATACAAAATCAGGCAGCAGGTTGGTGGCTGATGCCTCACCTAGGACTCATATTATCTAGTGCTCAAAGAGCTGCACTGGCTACCAGTTGTTGCCCAGGCCCAATTCAAGGTGCTTGTTTTGACATATAGAGTCCTAAATGGCTTATGGCCTGGTTACCTACCACATTCACCCATATAACCCTGCCTAACCCCTTAGATCAGAAAAGGAGGCCCTACTACAGGAGCCGCACCTCAAAGAGGTGAGGGGGGTGGCAAATAGGAAAAAGGCCTTTTCGTGGTTGCTCCCCATCCCTGGAATAAACTCCCAAGGGAAATTCGCCTGGTGCTGTCACCATTTTCATTTTGATGCCAGGTGAAAATGTACCTTTTAAATATCTATTTTAACTGATCCTGACCTCCTTTCATTTATTTGTTGTTGCTGTATTGTTAATTATATGAGGTTTTAAAACTTTAAGGCCTTTAAAAATTAAATTGTTTTATATTTGCAATTTATATGGCTTTGCCTAGGGACTTTTTAAGTATTTGGTGGCATGTAAATGGAAACATTAAACAAACAAACAGTTCCATTTATTTGCTCCATTATTTGCTCTTCCAAAATAAGTATTTTAAGATTGTCCCTGCATCGATAATTGGAAGCCTCTGGCCTGCCACAATTTTCCATTTAACCTGCCAAGGCCACGCTCAAGGCCCACACCATCCCTTAAGAATTATGATCCTTTTACCTGCCATTCACTGCACTGTTTCCAACTCAATGATGTCCTTTTTCAGATTGCGAGACCAGAGCTGTACACAATGTTCTAAATGCAGTTACACCAAAAATTTGAAGATAATTAGGAAAGAAATTGAAAAAAAAAACCTGCTGGGATCTTACTTCCCATGATCCCAGGTTTTTTTTTTCCAATTTCTTTCCTAATTATGCCTAACATGGAGTTTGCCTTTTCCCAGCAGCTGTGTAATGGGTCAACATTTTATGAGCGAGCAACTGCAGTGCCAGTATTTTTCTAAAAAAATCACCACTAGCCCAGATCCCATCAGCTTATACTTCAGGTTAGGATTTTTGTCCCAGCATGCATTGCTTTATATTCACTTACATTGAACTACATTTGTCATTTTGATGCTCCTTCTACCAGCTTGGAGAGATCCTTTTGGAGCTCCTCACATTTCCTTTTTTAAACTGCTCTAAATGGTGTGGTGTCATTAGAAAATATGGACATTTCACTGCTTACTTCTAATTCCAGTTCATTTATGAATAGTTTGAGAAGAACATTGCTCCTAATACACAATCCTAAGTAATCCCACTGCTTACATCCCTACATTGGGAGAAATTACCATTTATTCCCATTCCCCTTTTTCTAATATTTAACCAGTACTGACCCATAAGGCCTCCTCTCTTATTCCATGACTGCTAAGTTTACAGAGAGTCATTGGTGAGGAATTTTGTCAAAAGCCTTTGGAAAGTCTAGAAATCTACTGGATCATCCCATCCATATGTTTACTGACACTCTCAAAGAACTCTAACAAACAGAACTTACCTTTGCAGAAATCATGTTGATTCTTTTTTAGCGGGTTTTTGTATATGTTTACTGATTCTATCTTTAATAAAGTTTTCAAGCAATTTACCTGAAAGAAACATTAACCTAACTGGCCTGCAGTTTCCCAGATCCACTCTAGAACATCTTTTTAACCAGTGATGCTAGATGGGCCCTTCTCCAATCCTCTGGTACAGAGGCTGACCTTAGGAATGTACAGTCAGCCCTCCACATTTGTGGGGATTAGGGGTTCAGGACCCCCATGAGAGTGAAAAAACAACAATTACAGAGGTACCTTGGCTCATGAACTTAATCCACTCCACGACTCTGGTCGTGACCCAAATTGGTCATGAGCCAAGTCAAATTTCCCCATAAAGTTCAATGTAAATAAGGTTAATCTGTTCTGCACTATTTTTTTTACTCACAACAATTTGAAGCAAAGAGATAAAGAACAACAAAGATCGCGGCCATCTCCTCCCTCCCCCCAGCATAACTGCAATTACGCCCATGCAGAGAAGGTGGGCACGACTGCAATCATCACCCACTGTGGAGTTCGTGACCTGTGGCAAAATTTTTATGAAATTTCTGTTCACAACTCGATTTGGTCATGAGGTGTTCGTGAGCCGAAGTACCACTGTATTTCTACCCCCCTCAAAAAACGTATTACTGCTGACTGTATGTGTACTGAATTGTTTCTTCCTCTCTCGTGTGCGCATGCCTGTGTGCGCGCATGCATGACACGACAGCCTACCTTATTGCTATGTACACTGGGTGGCTGGTAGACTCCAGGGGGCGGGTGGCGGGCTGCAGGAAGTGGCCACCAGACCAGCACATGGGTGGGCCTGGCCACCCTCAGGCACTCGGCTTTTGGCATGCGCAGAACTTTTTTAGTTTTTCTATTTCATGCGTGTCATCTGTGATTTTCCACAGTAGGCCACAAAACTCCAATCTTTCCCCCCATTTAATTACTGACAGCAAACTTTTGCAAATAATCAAATCTGCAAAAGTTATACCCACAAAAGTCAAAGTTCAACTGTATTACTTATGTTGGTAAGTGGCCTTAGTGTTGAAGGAAAGGCAAGATGCTGCTGATGCAGGGAAAACTGTTCCCTTCTGGTGTCACCAGCCTACCTAGACTCCTCTGTGTGCACTAGGAAAGGAGCTACCCTAGTGAACAGAGAGAAAATGCAGTGAGAAGGCAGAAAGGCAAAGGGAGAAAGATGGAAGAGAAAGCATTGTTTTCACCCAGCCCACCACTAGAATGCATCCCCCAGAAGTTTAAACAGGAATGAATGTGATGTGGTTGAAAGAACTTTCCCATCTTTGTCCTACATTAAGTAGATCAGAGGAATGATAATTTCAAAAAAATCAGAACAGGATTTTTTCTTTAATGCTTAAGTTGGTCCATGGGAGAGTAACCAGGTCCTTAGAAGAATATAAATCAAACAGTCCCAAAGATACAAGCTTGAACTTTACACATCACTGTCAAGAATTTCCATGGGAAACCTTTCAAATTCCTTACCCATTCAGGTACTTCACCCATAACAAACTAAATTTGAAGATAAGTAACCATGAAACTGGTGCTTTCATACAAATATTTAAAAGGAGCTCACTGCACTGAGTAGCAAATAAGAGATGTAGAGAAGATTTCTATAGAAAAAGTAACCTAATTCTAGCCCTACAAATGCAATAAATACTAGGTTATCATATAATACTATGTTATTGCAGAATCTATGTGGTCTTGCAAAAGTGATGCTATTAATCCTTCTTCCCTTCTACCCAAATCAGCCTATTCATTATTGTTACTTAAGATAACTTTTTATTATAGCAAAAAGTGAAAAAGTTAACATTAAAATGTTTTATTTTTTATTTATTTATTAAAACATTTTTATGCCGCCCCATTCGCTGAAGCCTCGGGGAGGCTTACAACAATATTATAACAACAACAATATTGTTGTTATAATAATTTCAAGTCCATGAGGCAAGATGTGCTGCTGGGTAAATTTTGCCCAGACCATAGATCTGATGGCTCTCCAACATTTGGAGTCAAGAAGGAAGCAACTCCAGGTCACACTGGCTAAGGTTGTAGGGAGTTAGACACTAAACATGAACAAAATGATCCAGAAGATAATTTTTCACGGTGTGTCAGATCTACTCAGTCCAACTTTCTGTCTGTACCCATGATAGCGATACTACATAACCTCGCACGTATCCACACTGTCCAGAGATTCTTTCTATAAAAAACTTTAAGACATATAGCAAACTGTCCATTGCTGTTTACCATGAATTATGTTTCTGAGATGTTTACTTCCTGCAACAGTATACATATAGTTCTTGTACAACACTATAACGAAAGGTCACCAATATTTGAATAAACCACAAGCTCAGAGATTTGCAGTATTTAAAGTGTAAAAATGTCATTCATAGACAAGGATTTTCCAGACAGAACTACAGTCTTTCACCCAGGTAACAGTTACACTCTGTATAATAAAAGAGACAGACTATGGCTTTTGCCGGTCCCACTGATAATGAGAAACTTCCCAATATTCAATTGTGGAAACATATGCAATGGTGAGAAGTCTGAGCACTTGATTCTCACAAATGTCCTTAACACAGTTAAGGCCGCTGTCATCCTCCCTCCCTGGACAAAGCTGCTCCTAAAAAGTGAGGAAGTCCTTGGAAAAGAATAAGAATGGTAGTAGCACTGCACGGTCCAGGAGACGTTGAAATCAAGATGTCCCAATCAGCATAAACAAGTGATTTCTCCCCTGCTCTATGTATGCATCATTTATCTGCCTCAGAGGCACAGTCTCATCTGATTGTCAGTTTAATAAGAATGTTTGCTATTAATTCAGCGAGGAGGTACCAAACCATTTGAACACAGCCGTTTCAAACTAAAGTATTAGGAAAGTATTTGGAAGCAGTACAAAACAGCAACAGACCAATGAATTCATATAATTATTGCTCTTTCCTACCAAGAATACGCTGGAAAACTGCAAGAAATCAGAAGAAAATGCTCTTTTAGTCTGTATGCATGTTATAGTAATTGTAACTTAACTAACTGGAAGGACCATTGATATAGAAGTTCCCCAGATGTTTCAAATGTCTTTTCCATACAGAAGCATTATGACTGCAATATATTTGTGCGTATATAATCATGAATAACCATCCAACATCAAGCTGTTTCCAATGCACTGATTTTAAAAATTCCAATGGTATTTTCTTTGTAGCCTAATATCCTATAAATTTAATGGAGCCACAAAATTCTATTATATTCCAGTTTTTATCAAACTCAGGACAGTATAAGAAAAGAATCATTGTGCATCTAAAGAAAAAGAATAAATCAACCTTAGTATACTTTTTCAAAAAGTTAAAAAGATGAACTTGGAAAAGTTACCATTTGAGCTCGGAGATACATCTGAGCCTGGCTTGCAGTGAGACTAGGGGAGGTGCTCCCTAGTAGCATGGTCTGTTGGGTAAGACTGCTGCTGCTAGTGTTGGAGGTCTGTGAGCGGCTTATTAGCTGCGCAGGTGTAGGAGAAGCAGAGAGATTAATCTAAGGAAGCAAAAACAGTATTTTCATTAACTACCCTCATACCACAATTTTAAAGAAAGTCAGGTACAATCCTAGGCAACAGTAAGTCCCACTGATTCTGTGTAAACCTGCAAAAGAGTGCCCAATGTTTGACTTGTGATTGTGCTTTGCAGCAGAGCATCTAGGTTTGGTAAAATCCTAGAACTGAAGCTTTCAAAATTACATTTTCTCCAGTAGCTTTAAGCACTAGTTCATCAAGAAGGCCACTGAATATGGTATGACATTTTTAACCATCTCTAAAATACAGCAGGGGTTGAATCCTATGCAGGTTGAAGCAGGAAAAAAACCTTACAACTCCAAGCATTTCACAGCCATGTTCATAAATTTTGCATTTAACTTCAAAGATACTTGACCATAAACAGGTGTCTCATTTAAATTCTGGAGTTTATATACTTCCTTCTAAAATATTCAGTGATCTTGCAGAAGGTTGTCCTTCTTGGAAATGTCATTATGCTTTACACAGATTACAGTCATACTGTCCAGTTTATTGTTTAAACTCAGCACATTAGCTCCTAGCATTTTCATTCTTGTAAAAGCTGAGTGCATTCTGTTTTGAGCCTCCAACTACTACCATGGAGGATTCTTTTCCTTGAACAGATCTGGCAAAGCCTATACCTAAGTATTTCCCAAAGAGATTCAAGATCTTTATATTAATACACAATATGTAATATTGTGGGTTCAGTAAGGGGCTTTTAAAACAGCATTTTAAGTACACACACAGAGACCAATGTCAAAGAAAAAAAAATACAAGTTTCTGCTCCTTCAGTGCTTTGCGTTAAAAATGTAAATGTGATCATTTATATTTATTTTTCCATGCAAACAATAGGAACATGTTAACTTATAAAAATCTAGGTTGAAAGTATGTGCTTTGTATGGATGCTTACCGAAGTCTCTGACATGCTTGACTGCTGAGTTACACTGCCATTGGGAGATGCACACTGCCTCCCACCTGACAGGTTTGCCTAAATAGTAAGCACATTAGTCAAATGAGTCATTTACACAGCAATAAAATGTATATAAGTAATATTGGATATGATATATTGAATGTTTAACTCAACAGTATTCACTAGGTAGCCCAATGACCACATGAAACCCACAATGGGTTCTCTATTGACCCCAGTATCCTCAACCCTGCAACCTCTTCACCCCAGTTTATGGTTTCATAGTACAAAATAACCATTCCTGTATCAAGTAACAACCTGTCTAGCCTAGCAATGATTCCCATGGTATACCCAGAACACCCTGATGGACCTTATCTTGGGTCAAATTACAGGCCACTACATTTCTCCATAAAAGTTGAACCAATTCTTAAAACATAACAGCTCTATTTTTCTTAACATGTTCTTGGGCAACAGATGAATAAAAAGCAATTTAGGAGGCACTGATTTGGCTTGAGGTTGCCAGCTCTCCATCCCTTCTCACTCTCTGATTGTAAACTTTTGAATATGTCAAATGCACATTTTTCATTTATTCACAGATGTTCTGCTATTCTTCTCTCCTGCTCACCCACAGCCAAGGGCCTGCACAAGGGGGAAAAAACCCCAATCCCCCATTTACCCAAGTATAGGCTACTGTAAGGTTATAAACAGCATCCATAGATCCTAAGGAGTAACTGAACCTGCACATGAGACAAACTTCCTGACAGAAGTCTCAGCATATTATGAAATTAAGCATTATACCCTGGGGGATTATGGTTTTTTCAAAATCAGCAATTATTCTGTATATCCAAGCATATACAATTTGGGCTGATATTCAAAACTTTGAAAGAACTACATTAAAGTTTCTAAAATACAATATTCAAAATTGCTTCAATTCATCTGTAATGAACTGTGCATGTTTACTGGTAGGACTCAAATAAGAATGGTTTCTACTACAATATGTACCAGTGGTCTTTCTAATATTTTGGTGCTATTATGCAATATATTGGCGTATAAGATAACCCTTGAAACTGAAAATAGCAAAGCAAAAATTGGGGGTCATCTTATACACCTGTTATATTACAAACATCAGAAAAGCAGTCCAAAATATTGACCTTGTGTTATACGCAAGTCATATTATACACTGATCTATATGGTGTTTGTGAAGGAAAATGCCTTCTTTTTAATTGTTGGTTTTAAACAAACATAGCAAAATCATTTGAAAATTGTTTTACACTATAGAAGTGAAATGAAGAACTGTATTTTTAATTATAAATGGGTTTTATTTATTACATACTAGACTGCAGCATGACCATTCTAGTCTACTTAATTGGTTGTATTAGTATAATTCAATTCTATAAAATTATTTTGTAAATATATATTACTTGACAATTTAAACAGTTCTTAAATACCACATACATACGACAAAATATTTGAGGCATGAAGCAAATACTATTTTATTCAACCAGTCATTTTAAACACTTTGATCCCTTTTAAACTCAGCCAAAATTAGGGGGAACAGTAAGGCAGACTAACTGTGGTTTATCCTATCCAAGTTCCATTCCCTTGTTGAGGTGCTCCATTCAGCAGTCTTCAGGGTGATCTAGCATGGTGTTGGGAATCTCCTAAACTGGTGGTGTTAGTGGCTTCATCATTACATAGAGATTGCCTTACTGGAAGTGGCTCAGGACTTGATATTATTATCTGAGGATTTGGAGCGTACCAGTGACTCACAACTCCATTTCTCCTCTATCGCTAACAAGAACAAAACTGTTGATGTTTTGAATTGTACCTGAAGAGAGTAATAAGCTGGATGAGGCCCAATAACTGAGGCTTTATCCAGAATCCATCAAAAAGAGGCATGACTCACTGGAGAAGACAATAATGGTAGGTAGAATTGAAGGCAGAAGAGGGAGACCAAATATGAGATGGATCAATTTCATGAGAAAGTTACAACTGTGAGTTTACAGGAGCTGAACAGAACTGTCAAGGACAGAAACATTTTGGAGGTATACATTCATAGGGTCACCATAAGTCAGAGATGACTTAATATCATGTAACTACCACCACCACCTGGACAAGACACAGGTGTTCCTGCTCAGGAGACAAAATCTGAAACAGAACTTCAGTTTCAGATAGGATATTGCTCCTCTTGAGGAATCAGGATTGATTTAGGTAAATGATCCTGGATTCAGCCTTGCTCCTGGATGCTCAGGTACATACAATAACCAGGAGTGTCTTCTCTCAGGTTAGGCTGATGTACCAACTACACTTGTTCTGAATAAGTCAAATGAAAATACAGTAACACACACCTTAAGATACTTCTAGACTTGATCTTCACAATACACTCTCTTTTTGACTGGGCCACAAGCATGTCAGTGAGCATTTTCCAATGGGATCATGTTACACTTATCCTGCAATACCTGCACTGGCAGCCAATCTGTTTCTGGGTGCAATGCAATGTACTAGTCAGTTTGAAGTCCTAAACAGGGTGTCTGAAGTCAGAATTAATGATCTGCAGTAGTAATTTGATTATTTCCAAAGTAAAGATTGAACTGGCTTAGTCTCCAGTTCCTAACGGGAGGTTATTCCTTCTTCTTTACAACAACAAGCCATAAAATTGAAGATTTAAATTCCCTTTACACAATAACAAAACATTAGTTGGAAATTCAATGATCTATAAGGAAATACTGCCTAGCTTGCCTAAGTTTATCTAGGTAGAATTCCTTATTTATTAGGTTTACAGCCAGCTTTTTTTCTTACAGCAAACTCAGAGTGGCTTACATAGTTCTCCTCCTCCTCCTCTCAATCTTACCCCACAACAATCATCCAGTTGGCTCCATGGCTGAGCAGTGACTAGAAGCCAGACTGCCTGAGTCCCACTCCTGCGCTCTCAACTACTACCACACACTGGCTCTCTGTATGTTGTAGCTGATAGCCAGTGTGCAGTATAAAAAGAGGTTGGAAGCCACTTATTAAGATAAAACACAACTGAATTATATGTTTGGTAGAATTTAGGATTAATTTCTAGATTATTCTTTTCTAACCTATCCTAGTCTCACCTGTGGAACACTGGCCAGACTCTGGAACTGAGCACTGCTCAAATGCTGCTGTTGCAAAGCAGCAGTTTGTAACATTAGATGTTGCTGCTGAGCGGCATACATCTGCTGCAGGTATTGTGCCGCTGAGCTAGGGGGACGATGCAAGGCCTGCTGAATAACCTGTAGATTTTAAAATAACATTATTAGAATGGCAGAAATAACAATTCTTAATAGTAAGATCACATCACTCATTCAAGCATCATCACAGCTTGTAGTTCCCAGTAACTGCACCACATCCCCAGCTTATTTGCCATTATCATTCTAATTGCTTTGGACAAAGTATTTAATATGATTTTGAAAATACTGTTCTCACTGCTACCTGTATGATCAACCAGTAAACACAAGCCTACATATGCAAGGTTAAAGTTTACTAAGAAAAAGTATATGGGGAAAAGCAGGCAATCAGCAATTACCATATCATTGTGAAGCTCACCATTCTTGATCTGGACAATGCAATCAGGTTCTCAGCACTCTGCTTAACAATTAGTCTAGCAGTCAAGAGCCCATAGACAGTTTCTCTCAATAAATATATTGTACAAATATTAACATGCTGCAAAGCCCCACTCTGTACTGACAAACATTCCAATCATGAGCATGCAACAGTTAAACACAGATTAATTAAGTTTTAGGTTCCGTATTATCCTACAGTTTTGAAAAGGAACAGAGAAAAAGGAGTAGAAGTAGGATCAAAGAGGAATCACCATCTGGGAGTGGAGGACAGTGGGATAGGGACAAATGTAGAAGGAAGCAGAGAAAATAGAGAGGGGATGCCACAGGAATAAGACAAAGAATCAAAGAGCTGGGGTGGAGTGAGGACTAGAAATGACGCATGAAAGAGGAACTGGCACAACACTAAGTAATTCACTACTATACTTTTTCCTAGCCTTGCTTTTTCCAAGGGCAGGATTTGCAGACAGTGCTGGAATTTAACCATTGTGCAAGAACAGATGCAAGTAGCTACAACCTTTTCCTGCAAAAAGCAGTTTTACCATACCCTCTAAAATCACTGCCTCCTGTAATAACTTGTAATCACAGCCATTTATTGCTGTGTTTGCAACCTCCTGTATCATCATCTTTTGCTTTTTTTATTTTCAACATCTGTCTTTCTCAGCAGCATACAGCCAATCACATACTTGTACAGCATGTCGATCGGAGCCACTATAGACAGATATCTGAGGTGGCTGCGTACGGGAGGGGGAAGAAGTTGTAGCAACGGTTGTTGTGCATGTGGAAGATGTTGTTGTGCTTGGCTCATTCTCCATAGCTGTGGAATGATACTTCCACCTGTTGAAGAAAAACAACAACAATGGTTCAAACATAGGACATATTCCATTGGTTAGAATCTAAAGAGTCACACACAAACTGGTTTGATCCTAAGGTGAAATATAAGTTTAAATCCCAGACTACCCAAGAATGCAAGTCCCAATCTTTCACTTGCACATCGGCAGATCATGAACACACCAAGGATTCCAAGACTATTGTAGATCTTGCTTCAAAGTTAAAGGGCATCCACTTTAGCAAGGATTTCAATCTGGGTTTCAGAGTCTAATGGCACAAACTTACACGTTTTTTTCAAAGGTAAAGATTAATGTGTTCAACTTACTCCAAGATTAAGTATGCATAGAATTGCAACATAAATCCAAAACAATCTAGCCATACCACCATACTGGCCCCCAGGTCATCACTGTTCAGCTGACCATTGTATGTGCTTTCGGTTTACAAGATGAAATCATCAGTTGCACATGGCAGGACCTTTACAGTACTTGTCCTAAGTCTGTGAAGCGACCTCTTCAGTGAGCTCAAAAACAAATTTCCTTTCATGGCATTCTGAAAGGGGCACAAAATTAATCTCAGTTGCCTTTACAGTGGTACCTTGGCTCACGAACTTAATGCATTCCAGGACTCTGGTCGTGAGCCAAGTCAAATTTTCCTATAAGGGTCAATGAAAATAAGGTTAATCCATTCTGCAACTATATTTTTTTACTCACAAAAATTTGAAGCAAAGTGACAAAGAATGTGCATGATCACGGGCGCGCTCTTGCAGGAAAGACGGGAGCAATCTCGGCCATCTCCCCACCCCCAAACCAGCACGATCGCAGCCATCCTCCTACCCCCGAGTGGGGAGATGGCCACGATCACAGTCGCGTTCGTGCAGGGAAGTCCTGCGTGATCACGGCGATGCTGTGCTGTGCCGCACCCGTCTTTCCTGCAGGAGGAATGGCTGTGATAGTGCTGCTTCTGGGTGCAGCGGGAGGACGGCCAAGATTGCACCGTCTTTCCTGCAGGAGCGCGCCCGTGCCAGGATTTCTTTGAGAAGCATCAACCAAACATAACTGTAATGAACAGTGTTGAATCTGATGAATGATAATGTGGTCTCTCATTTCTGGAGGGTTATGCAAGCACAGGAAAAAACAAGTGACTATAGACAGATTTTTCACCAAAATTGACCCTGCAGCTAAGAGACAACGAATAGAGGAAACCCCTGAAAGAGAGCTCCCCAATGTCCTTATGGAGGGGGACTCTCCCTCAAAACAATAACCTCCCCCCCACCTAGGTTAGTGTTCTCCACTGTACAGTGTACTGTACTTTGTTACTCTGTTCTTCTTTGTCACTTTGTTTCTGATTTAAAAAAAATAGTTACAGCACGGATGAACCTTATTTACATTGAACCTTATGGGGAAATTTGACTTGGCTCACAACCAAAAATTGGCTCACAACCACATTTGGAGGGGCCAGAATGGATAAACCTTATTTAATACACTGAATCTTATGGGGAAATTTGACTTGTGTCACAACCAATTTGGGTCACAACCAGAGTCGTGGAACAGATTAAATTGGTGAGCCAAGGTACCACTGTAATTGGAATGTAGTTTTAATGTGGGATGCTTTATTGAATCATATTAGCAGCATATAATACTTTTGGAGACTACAATCCAATTTAGAAGAGCATTTTAGTTCTGCAATATGAACTAGAAATTCTTAAAATGAATGCATAAAACACTCAACATTTGCATGGTACTTTCAACAGTTCAAAGTATTTTCCACGCATTATTGAGTTGCAGTCCTCACAGTCCTGTAAACTGAGATTTGAATACTGCCTAAGTAGAGAAGCACAGTCTCTTAGGACACATTCTACGCATGTCTACACAGGAAAAGTCATACAATGCCAGTATTCTCAGCTAGCATAGTCAAGCCAGCATACTGTCTAACCCTATACATCAAGAGTGGGCAACCTGCCTCCATATGCTGGACTCTTAAGACCCACAGAAACAGTCAGAATGGTGATGGGCTGCAAGAGCCTGAGCCCCAAACACCTGGAGCCCCACATGTTGCCCACCTCAGTTACACCGACTTGTTGGGACAAAAGTGCGTTAAATTCATGGGCGCCTGCTTCTGAATAGATGTGCATAAGCTTGCACCGTTGGCCACTCCACTATGTAAGTTTCTAAATGAGTAGTAGTATTTGTTGCAGCAAGAGCAGTTGCAGGTTTTGTCGCACCCTAACGGCCAACGCGTCTCATTGTGGCATCCACTTTCCTGGGCTACAGCCTACTTCATCAGCCCAAACTCCTGAAACCCCAAACCACAAGGCTCTCGGTTGTTGCAGCTGCAGCAAGCGTTCTCACAACCACTCAGAACGTGCTTAAGAATACTATAAATGAACTCATGAACTGCGCAACAGGCACAAAATCAACCGTTACAATTCAGCGTCTAGAGAGACAGGTAATGAGCGCGGCGGCGATGACAGTCTACCCCTGCCGAATCTCTGCCTGTCCCACGTTTCATTTATTTTGCCGGGAGAGGAAAGCAAAACACACTCTAGACCGGCGGCTGGGAGAAAACGGGTATGCCTCTGACAGGGACGGCCACGGCCATCCAGGGACCAGCTTCCCGCACCCAGCCTTCGCGCAGGGGCGCTCCACGGCAGGCACCCTGCTGCCCGCCAGAGGAGGCAGATGCCGAGGAACACCGGCGGTGCCTGGGCCCACTGCCTTCCCGGGTTGCCAACTGACAAAAGATCGCCCCGGGGGAAGACTCGACCCCCAGGACCAGCGCCCGCGAGCGCCGGAGGGAACGCACGGCAGCGCCCCCGCGGCCGCCGGCCCTTTCCTCTGCCCTCCTCCGCGCGCAACGCATCCCCCTCAGCGAGAGAGAAAACGCACCCGCTCAGCGTACAAATCGCTCACTCCGCTTCCGCCATGTTCTCGCCTCCCTCACAGGGAGGCACCGCGCACGCGCCTCGCAGCCCGGAGGTCGGCCGACCTCCCCCACCCGGAAGAGGTCACGTGCGATCCCGTCGCTCCCGCGCTTTAGCTCCTAGCTGCTGCAGCTTTCTGCGGTTCGGTTTGCGAGCGCCAACCTCGGGCAAAGCAAGGTGTTTCTTAAATAAAATACGTTAATATAGGCACGGGCTGTTCCTCTGTGTAAATGTTCTTTTTTTTTCTTTCCAGAAGAAACTAAGTCTGTAGTTCCAATTTTCAGAGCATTCCACCGAGCAAGCTCCATCATTTTCAGCTTCTCATTACTCCGAGGCGTAACGTCGGCAGGTCCCATTTATGTAAACCAGGTGATTCCTACACCGAGTGATACCTTTATTAAGCCATCTTAAAAGATGACATAAGATATGCAAGCTTTGGAGAACTTCTGATCTCTTTAAGGCGCAATACTAGGCATGTTGAGACAGAAAAAAAGCCGAAGCCAAATTGAGCTCTTGATGGGTAAGAATGCTAAGTTAAAAAACTGGAAGTTATAAGGCGTTTTCCCCCCTGAGTAACTATGCATAGGATTGCGCCCTTAAACATTTTAATTTTTGTGATCTTTTGAGTCGATCTAATAAAGGCATTACTGAATATGGATGTTGGAATCTTCCTTCGATGTGGTTGCCTTCAGTTTTGGGTATGTGTTAGATGAAGCAATCTCTGTAACAAGGCTAAACGTGTTTAGACACACTCAAGTTGTATGTTTCGTATTCCCGTTTACGTCGTCTACGCATCGCAGAGTAATCTCTGCCAAGACATCAAACCAGTGCTCTGTCGGACGATTTGCTGTCTTTGGAAACTACGCGTCCCAAAATTCTCCGCGTTCCCCGGTATTTCTGGAACTTGCAGTCTTCGCGCTCCATGAAGGCGTTGGCCTGTATTAACATAGCATAAGTCTACACATAAAGCCGCGATTGAATTGCGGGTGGTGGTGATGAAAAATCAACGGCGGTAGATGCAACATGTAGAAGTCTTTCGTCCCCATTGGACTCTAAGACGGGGTAGAAGGAATATTCCTTGTGTGTAGTACAATCCCTTCATCAAGAACAAGTGAAGCTGGGAAAAAGGGAGGTTGCTGCTGGAGATGATAGTAAGTTAGTCAGCGATTTATTCATTTTCCGAAACTTATGAATTGGCTCTGTTTCAGTATCTTAAAAAAAATGCACGTGCCTCTCTATACCTGCTCTTTCTACCCGAAACGGCTTCTCGTTTGCACGCATACGAGCGTCACCTCCCTATAAATCTGCGAAGTGGGTTATTCCCGGTTCCTTCAAGTCGTGTTCCCCTCTCCCGGCTCTCCCTCACTTCCGTTCGAGGACTTCGGCGCGTCCCCGGGGGGCGGGGCGGGGCAAGCATGGCATAGACAAGGAGCCTCGCACACTCACCTGCGCGTGCGCGCAGTTGGGCGGGGGCGGCGGCGCCGGGGGCGGCTGGCGGGTCGCGCGCTCGCTTCGAGCCGCGGAGGGCGGAGTGGCGGGAGCGGAGCGCCCGTTCGCGCGACGCCTCGTCTCTCCTTCCTTGTGCCCAAGGGACGAGCGGGAGGCGGTGAGCGCGCGCGGCTCGCTCCCTTCCCACCGCCGCTAGCAGCACCGCCACCCCCTTCCGCAGCTCCGGGGTGGGGCCGGGCAAGGCAAGGGGGCGATGCCGACTCAGCGCGAGAGCGGCAGCAACAGCGGCGTCGGCAGCATGTCTCACCCTGGCCTGGGAGGCGGCGGCGGCGGCGGCGGAGGAAGCGGCGGCAGCGTCGGCGGTCTTGGGGGCCCTGGCGGCGACAGCGCCCATCAGGTCCGCGTGAAGGCTTACTACAAAGGGTGAGTGGCCGGCTTGGAAGAGGGGAGTGGCCGTGGGGGTGGGGGGAGAAGCGCGAAGAGGAGGAGGAGGATGGGGCCGGCGCGGGTGACTGGTTGCATGGGTGGTCTAGAGGGGCTGCTGCTTCTCAAATAATGCGGGACTCACTCGGAAGAAATCCGCTGTCGGTTCGAAATAAGCAAAAGGAAGCTCAGTTTCATACGACGGGTGGTTAGCCCGTGGTATTCACTGCCACAAGATGCGGTGATGCGCCCTGGCTGGCCTTAACTATCTTGCCACTTACTAAAGTGTGATAGGTAAAACCCCCGTGTTAGGAGGCACTCTGTCTCTGGGTACTCTGGGTTCTAGGGGAGGCAATGGAGTGTCTTTCTGCGCTGGTCTCAAGTGTTGAACTAGCTGCTCTTGGTTGAAGATGACGCTTTGAGTAGGAAGTGTGGAAATGGTGCATTCTGACCTTGAGAAGGAAAGGAGTAGGGTGCAGGTGCTAGGGCTATTTCTTAGAGAGCTGCAAACTTAGCGGTCAGGCATGGATAAATTATAAAAGCAATACCGGTGAGATAAATCTGCCAAGTTCATAGGAGAAAGGTTTAGGTTGCTACTGGAGTGGCTTGTTGGTATGGTGGGCCTTATCCTTTGGGTAGTTATGGGAGGCAGATGGTTCTGTGCAATGGGTCTGGGCTTTGGCATTTTAAACACATGGTAGTTAAGGCTTTCCCACCAATCCCAAAGAAAGACTAATGGGGAAGGCAAGATTAACTGCTCTTTGCTTGAGTGATCCAATAGGGTGGGAGCTTAGTCAGGTGAATGCTTTTGGTGAGGAAAATAGCCTTGCTGTGAACTATGAGAGGAAGAAAAATGTCTGTGGGATGCAGATTGTCAAAGGAATGCTGTTGGGAGGGATCCATGAGTAGGAGGATTGTTCGTAGAGCGAGGCAAGCATGCATACAGAATTTCAGAAATGAAACACAGTGAAGCAGTGGAACTTCCTGAAAGTGTGGAAGGGCTAAAGGCTGGATTTCCTCTTGAGGATAAGGGGTGTTGCATATGGACTGATTTACATAGAAGAATCCCTAGCAAATCCCCGGTGCAGTATTTTGTGCTTCTTTGCTTGTGCTTCTATACCAGTTGTATATGATAGTGTGGATTCACCTTGTTAGATGTGGTAGTGCAGGATCTCAAGCATCCCAAGCCTGTTCCAATTTCCCCTTTTTCTTTTAGTATAGACCCTTTCCTAGAGCTATGGCAGTTTTAAGGATTAGCAAAAAATAAATGTAGTAGGTAAGTGAATTGTGTCTTGAAAATGGGCATAAAGGAATTACCAAGATATTTTGAATGGGTGTGCTCAAGGTGAGGTTGAATAAAGTTCTTTGAATTGTGGATGCTGAGCAAAATTAAGAAAGGTATGACTAGGAGAAGGGATATCTGCCCTTTTCCTTGACAAATGAATTTTTGAACTCCTCTTACTGGAATTCTGTTAGAATTTTCTGCAATGCTAGTAACAAAGATGTTGTGACAGTAGAGAGATGCCCGTAACAGTATATTGCAAAGACTGCAGAAGTGAGTTGCTGGGCAGGGATGCGGTTCTGTGGGTGGGGTGTGACCACAGATTACTTGTAGAATGTGATTATAGCATGCTCGAAGTTGTTGAGCTACTTTTGCCTTGTATATTACTTTTTCTCCTACCATTTACACCTAAAGGTGGAAAAGAAGGGAGCTGGTGTTTTTTTTGAATGTGGCTGATTTGTCTGCTCTCACTATAGCAAAGGAGTCTTTATCATTTTGGGTAGGTAGAAAGATTTTGCTTTCAACTTAACAAGTGGTCTTTTTATATTACATATGTGTGTGTGGATAGACTTTATTTCATACCATGGGGCCATTCGAAGTAAAATATAATTGTACTTAATATCATGGTTTTCTTTTACCTGTTAGCAATCTGGACCTGGTGTGTTGTTGGGTTATCTCTGGGTATAAGGAATAAACAATCTGGAGTTTCTAGATTTGGTTTGAATATCATGATATCCCAGGAACACGGCATTCCTGGGCGGGTAGCTGAAAGTGGAAGCAACAAGTAGTGGAGGAAGCAGCTTGCTCGTTTTCAGTCGGCTGTAGCAGCTCTTGGGTTAAACACCCACGGTTTTACTATTGTGTGCAGTTCTGATCTGTTTTATCTAGCAGACAGTGACTGCATTTGCGCATCACACTACACCCTGTGAATAAGACATGGTGGGTTGGTTATTTGTGGAACAACCCATAGTGTGCCTGGCGGACAATTAGATTCACTGTGGATTGTACTTGCCTTCCTTCCCCCTTGGTCCTTGAGCTGACATCAGGGTGTCCTTCATGGAATCCTATTTGTCTTCCAGTTCCTGCTCCAGTGGCTACTCTTTTTAGTCACTTAAATATTTATTTACAGAGTCCCCAAACATATGTAGTTGGAGTTGTGAGTTTGCTTGTTTTTGGCTACTGCATTCGAAACATTTTGTTGGTCTTTCGCAGATTTCTTTCTTTCTTTAAAACTTTGATATGCCATCCTTTATATATGACATCTCAGGATGGCTTACAACAATGCATGCTTATGTCTTTTTCCAATAGGCAGTAGCCTTGCCTGGTCAACATCCTTATTTATGTCAGCTGTCAAAGGGAGCAGTGAAATGCAGTAGGGTATCATCAACTGAAAAATCACAGAGGAAGGAGGAGAAGATAGGTGCAGCAAAGCTCTAATTAGTAACTTGTTTGGGGATTTCTAGGGCAACCCATGTACATGTCCTTTCTAATTAAATATTAAGTCTTTGCAACTAACAACAACTTTTATTTGATGCTACTACTAGTTTGTATGGGTATTTGATATTCAGTGCTGTTGATTTTAAAATCTCAAATAAGAATTCTAAACTTATTTCATTTATTTAACCCACATTCATTCTCTCTCTCTCTGTCCCTCAAGACATTGCAGAGCAAAAACCCACAAAATGTCTGGGAGAGCACTGGAAGAATGATCCAGTTTGCACAGAACTACCCATGGGTTAAAGTATGGTTAGTTGGGGCCATGTGGGAGTGAGTTACTTCCCACATCTGCCTGCCATTTCAGATTTAGTGAATGATGTATTCCTGGGTTGTGCTCCATGACGCAACACTGATTGTTGAGAGAGTAAACACCAAGTTTTAATGCATGGCTTGTACTTGGGTTAAAACTGTTTTTCTTCTGAGGGAAAATACTGAGTGATTGGGAGGTTGTGTATTTGCTTCTGTGCAGTGCTTACTCCATAAGATTTACAGACTTTATGAACAATCCTTGCCCACAAACCAGATTGTTGTTTGGTATCATTTTCAAATGGAGAAGTTCTGAAGTAGTCAGTAGGTTAATTAATACAATAGAGTTCTGTGGTATTCTGTTAACTTTTACCTAAAAATGTTAATTAAGTCTGCAGCTCATTGCTACATCTGGAGCTAAAATGAGTCACAGAGGGAGTTGGTTCATGATCTTGGCATGGGCAGATTAGTTAAGAATTATTTCAGTTGCAACAAAAATGGTCAAACTTGTGCTATTGGACAAGATGTCCTCTTATCTTTACACCCCCCCCCCCACCACACACTGCTCTGCCCCAGTACCTATCATTTTCTAGTTGTGGAAGTTCTGAGACTTAAGTGTTCAACTTGCATAGGGCACAGTACTGCACGTGTTTAGATAGAAAAAGTTCCTACAAGTCCCATTATCTCTATGGTTGTTGATGCATTCTGGAAATTGTGGGTCTCCCATTGGTCTAACTTTGCATAGAATTGTACCCTTATGGGTAAGTAGATATGTGAGAGAGTGTAGTGAGAAGTCAAACAAATCTTAAGTTCACAATTTCTAAGTGGATTAGTTTTTAATCTATTTCTTGCAAGATGCTAAACCAGCATATAAGTAAACTCAGTAAAACAGATAAAAGCAATAAAATATTACATGTGATATAATATGGAATCATACCCAAAACCCAATTAAAAAGGTGTACTTTGGTCAGTGTGAAAGCATTCCTGTTCAGAAAATTATAGGAATTTAAAAATTAAACTTTTGAGTTAATTCAGGGTCTTAAGCTGCTTTGATCTTAAAATAGTCCAGCCTTTTGTAAATGCATTTTATTGTATTGTGTGGGAGGAAACCCTGTATTAAAGCTGACATATTTTTAACCTTTGAAAGGTCCCATAGTGGTATCTAACCAGAACTGGTGACTTAAAGTTGTTTTTTCTTCTGGAAGCATTGCCTCCCATTTTCACTTCTTTTGTCATGTCACAAAAGATTGTAAATCTGTGGGTACAACCTTACTTTATATTTATTTAACACTCTAATAGGCATTTTTTAACTGGAAGAAGAATGAACAGGTATAAAAGCCAGCTGTTTCAGTAAATGTTTAGTGGAAATATGAGGAGAAAATTCCATTCCCTATCCACTACTTAGGTCATGAGAAGAAAAGGTTTGTAAAAGCAGATTAAACTTTTGTCTCAGAATAATTATGAAATGTATTGAACGTAATGGAGGTTTTCAAGTTCATTAAGGCACCCTACAAAAATAAGAGTGCTGCTTTGTACCTATAAATGTTATAAAACGATGATGGGCTTCTTAAGGTTTTAAGATATTTTTAGTGATCCAGATTATAAACTCTGTGTTGAAATAAGGCTATGCAATAACTTTGGCAGTTACCTTTTGATCATGCTATGCCAAAAACAGGTATTTCACTTTTTGCAGTGAGGAGATTTAAAGTGCTCTAACTATAGCTAAGGAATGAATCCTATCCATCTATAGAAAGAATTTTGGGAATTGTTGGATTTTCTGAGCATGTTGGATGTTGTAGAATTTTTTTCCATGCACAATTTTGCCTTTACAGGGAGGTTTTCCAGCTTAATGAAAGAGTTTGGTTACAGTCTGATGTGTTCTATTGTGAGAGGGCCTGCCCACTCCCAAAATTTTGCCTAGTTACATGTTTACAACAACAGGCATGCATGCTGGCACAAAATGTAGCTGAAAGGCTAACAATTACTGATGCTTTAGAATTCTGCCCTTTTTGTATGATCTTCCTTCCCTCACTAAGTCTCTACAATTTTTCTAACTTTAAAGCTTTGAAAGCTCCCATTCCTGAATTTATCATCCCAAGAAAAATGTAAAATTTGGAGATTTGTATGCCTTAATTTATATTTTGATTTATATTTGTCTTACTGCGCTAGGTTCTATTGACTACTTGTGCACTACCTTGTGAAGGCTTTTAAGTTCTCGAAGGCAGTTTTAAAAATCTGTTGCTCAATATAGAGAAAGCGGTTACCTTTAGAGTAGGAGAGCAGAATGTCACCAAAGAGGGATTTTTTTCCTGAAGGAAACACCTATACTAAGATGGTTCTTAATGGTCTCCACACAGCACAAATATGGGCTTTGCATCTGCATGGAGGCTGTTGTTGGGAAGATTCTATAGCTACACATTCATACTGGGCTATGCAAATTTGTCTTTGGTAGTAGCAGTTGCTTGTCTTACTCCGGGCACCTTCTTGTCTTCTCCCACCGGTTTTTTTCCTAGCCTGCTTCTATTGGAAAAGACCTATCTTTTTCTAATTTAGAGGCTAAATTATGAACATAGCTTAATGATGTTGGAAAACAGAGTGAGGTGTTCTAGCAGACTTGCCTAGTGTCTCGCAAGTGTTGTGATTTGGGGGTGGATCTTGTGCTATGTTCCAGAATATGTATTTTGCTGAAGCTTTGCATGAATCATGTTATACAAGTACTGATAACAGTAATTGTAACAAATACTTTGAATTCTGCAAAAGATGTCCTTGGAGGTTTAATGTGGGGTTGATTTGTTATGGATGTGTTTTTTAATGCAATGTACAGCTGATAAGTGGAACAAAGAACTGTGGAGAAAGCAACCGTATTTTTGTTGCAGAGATATTTTATTGCCTGTTTGCTTGGATTTTGAATAACTGAGTAGGTCTGGCATATGGGTATGACATAAATAGGACAGATCTCAGTTTCTAATCCATTTTTATCATGGTGATTTTAATAATCAAAGTAGAGAAATGTCATCATACCTAGGAGAATTCTATCTCTTCCAAAATGCATCCCTCTTGTTACACATAGCTTTAAACTAATGGCAATGATTAAAATACCTGTCATTGTTACTAGTAAGAATTGAATAGTGGGTAATTTTTATTATTATTTTTTTACAGATTTTGTCTTTCTGATTTTATAATTTTGTAGGTTCTGATGAACCAGAGAATAAGAATAGGAAATTAATGTCATTATGAGCACTTGTGAAGGTTAAATAGATATTCTTGCACAAATAGAATGATCCATGTGGAAGAGTCAAAGGGAATTCAGGTGTTGCTTTTTCTTCTAATTTGTATTAAGTAATTTCAAAACTCAGATGTAATTATTAAGTATTTGGTTTCATTTTATCTTGTCTATTTTAGTGGACCTATTTGTACAACATAACAGCATACCATGGGTTGCTTAACCCATATTGAAATTGCTAATGAGTAGCAAATACAGATTTGGCCAATCAAAAACTACATGCTCCTTGGGCAATGCAGCCTCCAGCCCTCCCCTCAGGTACTTTGCCAGTACACATTCTTTCAGCGAATGGTATTCAGTGATAATCAAAATTGTCTGGGGTAAATATAGAAATTTGGCACAACAAGGGAAATAGATCAAAAAATCTTGGCAGGGAGAACCACTTTAAGTTCAAAAAAGAAAAAAGTTGCAACATATCCTTTGTGGATGTATTTATTTATTTAGGAAATGTGTAGGCCGTCCATCACAGTCGTCTCTGGACAGCTTACAACATTACTTCAAATCCTAAATAAAATAAACTATTCCGCAACTGAGCATAAAACCAATCTATTTCAAATAAATTAAATTAATCTAATCTAATTAAAATTACTTTATGTTAAAATATTGGTCAAATAAAAAGGTCTTGACCTGGCGCCAAAAAGCATATAATGACGGCACCAGGCGGACATCTCTAGGGAGCGCATTCCATAGTTGGGGCGCCACCGCAGAGAAAGCTGTCCTCCGAGTACTCTGTCTGCTGACCTCTTTCAAAGAGGGTTCCCGGAGGAGGGCCTCTGCTGCCGATCTTAGGGGGCGGGAGGGCATATAGGGAAAAAGGCGTTCCTTTAGGGATCCTGGTCCCAAGCCATTTAGGCTTTATAGGTAATAACCAGCGCCTTGAATTGAGCCCGGACTCAATGAGAAGCCAGTGGAGCTGATAGAGGACTGGAGTTATGTGAGAATAACGACCAGTCCCGAACAACATCCTGTCCCTGTTAGATGGAAAGACTGATTAAACACACACAAGCACGCACTTGTGCTATGTACCTGTGTTTTCTTAGTGGTCCCTTTAACTATGAAGAAATGTATAAAAATAAGGTTTTCATCGATGTACTGTATGATGCATATACACCCAGTCCCTCGGTTATGAATGTCCAAGTTAAGAACAAGCAAACCCCGAAGTCCCACCTTCTCGGAGTAGCAAGCAGGTGCCCACTGATGGTGAGCGCTGGGTGGCAAGGAGAGGAAGGAAGGGAAGAAGATGAAGAGAAGGAAAGCAGGGAAGGGAAAAAGGAGGGGAGAAGTGATGACCAGTGCCAGTGAGCAGCAAAAGAACTAGAATACAACTCCAGTGGTAACAGCCCCCGCCCCCCAGCAGCAGCACGATCAAACCCTGATACTCCAGTCCCACTATCTTCCTCTCCAACACCAGTCCCATCTCCATCATTATCCAGTTAATATTAGACTTAATGTTAGCTCAAGAAGTGTTAACCTTTAATAACCTTTTAACTATTTTCTCTATCTTTCTATATAAACTCTTTTAAGAACTGTACTGCAAAGAACTGTAAAAATCATGGACACACAAATATTAGAGCTGACATTTAAAAATGAGAATCCTTTTTCTGTTCTATACAGGCCTGGCACTTACCAATTGCAATAGTGTATCAGGTCTGGCACTGAGAGCAGGACTGATGCTTTCATCAGCATGATGTTAAGAAAAGTGTATTTGAATGTACAGGTAATGAAATGCATGTGCATTAACCAATAAAAGCAATAGAGTTTATACAATACAAATAAATATTCCATTCTAAAAGTAATAAACTTTTAATTGGATTCTTTCCAGGGATATTATGATAACCTATTTTGAACCTTCCATCTCCTTTGAGGGACTGTGTAATGAAGTTCGAGATATGTGTGCCTTTGATAATGAGCAGCTTTTCACCATGAAATGGATTGATGAAGAAGGTAAGCTAACAGAAGACAGAATTACTTCATTGATTTCTAGTATTTTCCATCTCGGCTTCTCCTTTCAAAGCTCAAATGGCAAGCATCGTTTCTTCTATGTTCTTTATTTGCTTGTATAGATGGATTGAAATTCCTAATATGGTGGGCATCACATTCTCTGAAGCAATCAGTTTGAACTGCTTCATTTTCCATGACAGTTGCAGAACATTCATACTATAAATACAGAGAAAAAAATGTGTTATATTTTGGTAAAAGTCAAAAGTTTAATGCTTCTCTGATCTTTTGGTCAGTTAATTGCATGTGTTTCTCTAGCTCATTTTGTTCAAATTATATGGAAAATAAATAGGAGGAAAGCTGATAGCTCCCCATATGTTTTGCAGAAGCGTTTGCTATTTCTGTCATGTATTTTTGCCTGCTCTTGCATTTTCTAGAACTGCCTTTTGGAAAAGTAGATCTCTTATGCTTCTACAATGACAAGTATTTTACCTGCAGAGGAAAAGTTGTGTTTTGGTCAGTAAGTCAAATAAGATCATTAGTTCAAGCTGCTGCTGCTGCTGTGTGCTACAATTAAGTGAGGGAAGGTGAGGGAAGTTTTAGTATTAAAACTTGAGGTAGAAAACAAATGCAAATAAAACAATTGGACTGGAAAGTGGCAAGACGAGTTCCATGTTATACCAGTAACTTACAGTGTAAACTCTCAGTTATTTAATCTTGGTTTAGAATACTGAGATTGGTAGGGGAAAAAAACATGAATTGATACTCCATGTAGGTTTGTGTTTGCATCTGAAAAGATACTTTGACTCATTTGCAAGGTACTAGGGCAGCCCTATGATCTTAAAAAAAATCACTCTTAAGTGTTGTTGGGGTTCTTTATGTACATGTGATCATACCAGGCTTCAGGCTGCAGTCTCTGCTTCCATGTCTTCAGATTCCTTGCACCGTGGGTGTTAGGATTCCAATCACTTTTAAAAGCAAAACTTGGATTACAGATTTCTCAATATGGATATACTGCACTAGAAATACCTAAGGGGTTGCATACCTGCTGCATTGGTCATTGTTGTTTCATTGCATGTAATGTATTAGTAGCTACTGATTCACCAACAGTGTTTTTACCCTGAGTGTAAGAACCCAATTTCAGCCCTTTTTCACATCTGACCTGTTACTGTATTCTGAAAGGAAAGATTTTACGGAGATGGTCGGATAAAGCTGAAAATATTTTGATGCCGACACACCTAGAAACATGGTTCTGTAAAGAAAAAGTAAACATTAGTTCTTTAATGAGGATTATAGGCACCAGCTCTCCCCAGGCAAATTTAAGAGCACCTGCCCATATTTCCTTTGTAATTTTGAAACATGTCCCATAATCCTTTTTGTCCTTGGCTGAAGAAAAACTGGTTTGTTCTCTCTCAGTGAAAATACTTCTTTATATATTTTGTATTCATTTCTGAGGATGATTCAGTGTACGTCTTAGCTGACTTGTTTACCATGGTTTCAGTACAGTGGGAAGGAAGATGAAGTCCTTGAACTTTGGATGACATGACCAAAAAAAAGACATGACCAAGGATAATTCTTAAGTAAAGTTGGGCAGAACGATGAGAAGTAAAATTGTTTCACAGGAATTGTGGTGCCTTTTCTCAGCAAAACAAGCCATTTATCACAGTAGAGGGCCATTTCATATGCTATTTAACTATAAAACTGAAATGGTTGCTGCAGCTAATCCGAGCATTTTGGCAGGTGTACAAATTTGGTGCATGTATTTGCAAACATACTGGCCACATTCATGTTACATCTTTATAGATTATGCAATATGCTCATGTAAAAATTACAGAGTTTGAAACAGTTTTTTAAAGTAGCTAATCAGCCACTGAATGGGTTTGCATCATGCAGCAACCCATCATGGGGTTCCAGCTGCAAAAGGAATCAGAATTGTAGTGGGGAGAAGAGCCAGAATAAGTTCTGCCGTGCAGGCCTTTGGGACACCTGCAAGAGGACTGAGGGAGAGGGAGGGGCAAACTCAGCCTGATCATCATGAGTTGTTCTTGAGCTGCACAAGTGCCTTGTGTATGATGGAGCTTATGAAGTAGGTTTCCGTGCCATGCAACCTCACCCATTGCATGGTCATGGGAATAATTTTTGTAAGCTTTGCAAAGTTTGCTTATGGCTTTTCATATTGCTACATCAGATAGATGAGCAAACAGACATAAATCTTGCCAGATGGAAGTGGGAAAGGTGAAATTTGAGTTCCAAGTCCTTTATTTATTTATTTAAGATTTTTGTGTCTCGTCCTTCACAGTGTTTCAGGGTGGCAATAACACAGATAAGACACAGCATCACAATAATATATAAAGTCAATGCTAAAAAAAAATGCTAACATTTAAAATGCTGGGAAAATGAAAAGGGTTTGGCCTGGTGCCAAAATGCAAAAAGCATCATTTATTTATTCATTTATTTTTCAATTTGTATCCTGCCTTTTTCCTACAAAGGGCTCAAGGCAGCTTACATCCTCCTCCTCCTCCTCCATCTTATCCCCACAACAACAACCCTGTGAGGTAGGTTGGGCTGAGAGTCTGTGACTGGCCCAAAGTCACCCAGTTGGCTCCATAGCTGAGTGGGGACTAGAACCCAGATCGTTTGAGTCCCAGTCCCATGCTCTTAACCACTACACCACACTGACTCTCATGCCAGGCACATTTTTCTGAGGAGCCCATCCCATAGCTGGGGCGCCACCTCCAAGAAGACTCTTCTCCAGGTAGCCACTCTTCTGATCTCCTTCAAAGAGGGCTGCAGAAGAAGGACCTCCACTCTAAATCTTAGAGGCCAGGCAGGTATATATGGAAGGAGATGCTCCTTCAGATATCCAGGTCCTAAGCCATTTAGGGCTTTATAAGACATCACCAGTACCTTAAATTGGGCCCAGTCCCAAAATTATCAAATATGCCGATAAATGATGGACATTTAAGGATATTCCAAGTCATGCTCAGTTTCTGAACATTTGAGTAGAATAAACAGTTTGGATTTTGTTCTATAATGTTCCATGTTTCTGGAATTGTTTTGGTGGTTGTTGTAGGATGTTAAGGAAGATTTTCTGTTTGCAACTGTATAATGCAAAAAAAAGGCTGTCTTAATTGTGTCATAGGAAATATCTGGTATCTGATAACTAAGAAATATGTAATTTTAAAGACAAGTTGGCACACATTTGATTCATTCAATTAATATGGGGGTGTAATATATCAACAGATAATGCATGCTAAGCTTAAGACTGTTGCATATAACTTGAATAAATTGCATTGTATATTGCATTGTATCTTATGGATTGTATTGTGTTGTGAATTGCCCAGAGAGCATATGGCTAATGGGGTGGCATATAACTTGAATAAATAATATTATTTGTGGCAGTGAGTTAAAGCAGCTTGATCTATTCTTAGCTGTATTTTAATGAACTCATTCTTTTTTAGGGGATCCATGTACAGTTTCATCTCAGCTGGAATTAGAAGAGGCTTTTCGGTTGTATGAATTAAATAAGGATTCCGAACTACTAATACATGGTAACTAGAAAAATCGGAGGGGTAGTGTGAAGGGGAGAGTGAAGGAAGAAGCAAAACAGTTCATTCTTTTTTCAGTCTGTGTTCCTAACTTCCTTCATAGTTGGGTATCCACTTTGTGTGGCTGGTATTTCCAATTAGTTTTCTTAGTGAGGTGTATGTGAAAATTACCTTTGTAACCAAACAGATAGCTAGCATGAAGCTGAGCTAATTTAAGGATGTTTATGAAAGGAATATTTCTTGTCCCTTCCTTTCTCCTGCAACCACCTGTATGTTTTAACAGCCTTTCTAGAGGAATTGGAGGCACCTTCTGAGCAATTGGGTTGATATGCAGGGGTTTGGAGAGTCAGTGACAGTTGGTGTGACTGGTGTGTTAGGCTTTTATTCTTGTAGCAAAAGCTCTGAAGGCAACATATGTTCTGTTGTCAACATACATGAAAAAAAAAATGTATCTTTTAATGTGTTTGAAATACTAGCTAATCCAGTTTTACTGATTTCCTCCCAGTGTTTCCTTGTGTACCAGAAAGGCCTGGAATGCCCTGTCCAGGTGAAGATAGTAAGTACAATAATTTCAATTATGCAGTACTACCTATTGTTTACTCTGAATCCACTTACATGTTTGGGGTCTACAATGTCAGAATATATTTAGAGATGGCAACTAAGACATTTTTAGTCCATGCTTATTTTTTCTTGTCTCTATGCATTTTATTCCAGTTCTTATTACATGTCATTTGGTGGTAAGTCACAACAATCAACTAGCAGCAAAGACACTTCACACATGCACGCACACATTTATTCCCATCATGCATCCAGTACCCAATGATTTGCTGAAGAAGAAGGTATAGGACCAACAGAAGCATGGAGGGGAGGGAATTCCACTGTCAGGTTGCTAATGTGAAGGAAGGCCCCCAGTGTGTTACAAATTTGTTAACCTCTTCCTATGATGGTGTTTTCAGAAAGTCCTCTCCAGCTGACCTCAGTTTGAACAGGATTATATTGAAAGGATGTTCCATCATTACTCTAATTGATAAATAATATTGAATGTCTATATTAACTTTTTTCCTTTCCTGATTGCACAGTGAACGTTGAAAGATGTATACTGGTTTTAGAAATTGTAGACACCTTCATTTCATTGAGAAATGTTAACTTGAATGTTTAGACACTGACATGGAGTGAAACTCAAATCAATATTTTTGGGAATTTTCATTTTAGTGAAGGTTTTGCCGCTTAGAGCTGTTTTCTTGGTCAAAATAAGCCACCACTGTTTACTTAAATCCATGAGCTGTTGTCATGTTCAACAAGCCATGCCAATCAGGTTCAGACAGCAAGACAAGCTTGTCTGCAGGTGGTATTTATAGAAATCATGCTCAACACAATTTTGGCTTGTTTTGATCATGCAAACCAGGCTGTTGTCATGCATGTTGAAGGCACTTCCCCCTCATGTCTAAATTTTGCCACTGCCACTTTGGTAAGTGCCTCAGTTCTGATTTGTGGACAGTGTTGAACATGTATACTAGTGGTAGAATAGGTTGAGATAAAAGCTTTGCTCACTGCCCTTATGATACTACTTGCATATAAACATAGTATTAAACATGTACAATACTGTTCAACTCTGTGACTTACGTAGCATTGTGTTTAGTCCAAGCATGAGGAGCTGGATTGAGATGTAGGGCTGGATGATGTAAAGGCATGGAACCATACCCACTGTCATCACTTGTTTCCCAACACACATGCTGGGTGCATTGACTTGGTGAGTCTGCCAGCTGACTTTGTCACTGTGCATCAGTTCCTCTCATAGGAGCACACAGCAACCCACATTAATTGGTGGTTGGAGGAGATTCCAGCCGTCAGCTCAGCGAGAACCCTGCTTTGCTGTGTACCTCCTTCCATTCCAGGGAGGTTGCTTACTCCAAAGCTTCTTTGACTGAATAGTCAATTGGTGGTGCATTCCAGCCACTGGCTTGGTCAGAATATACTGCCTGTGTAGAAAATGGAGAAGAATCAAGCACAGACATGCCTGAACAGACTCAGACATCACTCCTTCCTGTCGTGGCCAAGTCCTGCATTGCCAGGGTTCACTGCTGTTATGTCCAGCCACAGACCAGAGATGACAGCAGAAATGCCAAGGCCCACCCTTTAAAGGAATTTCTGAAGGCACTGTGATCTGAATGGGAAACCTCCTGGGTTGGATTAGACCTGCAAGTTGAAAGGCTCTGCTCCCTGGATTAATCAGATTAACTGTGGCCTGGGAAGTTCCCAGTTGAATTTTCATGTCAGACATGATTTTACTGTGTGTCATTGGGCAAATTAGTATCTATTATGCAGTAACTATCCACCCCAAATCCTGGAAGCTAAACCACTGTGCCAGCCTTCAAAGCTAGTTTTAAATAAATTGTGCAGAGTTAGGTACTAAATACATAAATGTAGAGTTAGCTATTACATTTTGATTATTTTTGCAGGAGAGATTTGTCTTTTTATAATACTATACAAATCATGAAGTGTCTATAATACTTTGACAGTTCTTGCTAAAGTAAACATATCCATACATGCCTGATCTGAGTAATTTTAAAACTTGGGTACAAAGCATTTAGCTCTGTCTATTCATATGAGATAAACTCATTTAAATGTTTTTTGTAGAGTCTATTTATCGTCGAGGTGCACGGCGATGGCGAAAGCTGTATTGTGCAAATGGTCATACTTTCCAAGCCAAGAGATTTAACAGAGTAAGTTTTAATGGATTTTACTCATACCCTTCTTGTTAGGACAGGATAACTGTAGGCATATTTGATTGTACATTTTTAAAATGGACTTTGTACTTCTGTGCTATCAAATAATTGGTATCTTTTATGTAAGTATTGATATTGAGAAATAAGCTTTAAACAGCGTGTTCGCCTTATCAGCTTTCAAGCCAATCAAAATTTATTTACCTTTTTCATATAATAAAACTTTATTTCTAGGACTTCTCATTTCTGGTAACCCTGTGATTTTCAACTAAAAATATGCAGAGTTAAACTATAAGACATAAAGCTCTAACTCTCCAGTGCATTGGCCATTCTTATGATTACTCTGACTGGGTTCAGATGACAAAACAACTCAGCCCAGGTGTCATGTGAGATTAGACCACTTCCTACAGGTGGCTTCTTTGGGGGCAACACCCCCTCCCCCAACTCATGGCTTGTTCTGTTGGTTAATGGATTGAGTGTGGGACAAACCTGGCACATTAATCCCATTGAGTGTCTAAGGAAGTGGTGAGCAAGGCATACCGCAAGAACACTAAAACCCCTGTGCTCATCTCTCTGTCACCACTTCACCAAAGACAGCTGCACTAGCAGTGCTCAAGTGGCATTTTAGAAGATACCATCACTGGCTTGGTCTCCCTGTTCCACTTGTAACTTTTGGGGGGGTGGCTGCCACAGCTTCCCCCTCTCCTGTAATCTTTTTGCAATCTATGTCAATGACAGCCACTGGCACCCTTTACAAAATTCCTAGCAACCACAGGTTAACCATTTTAAAAAACAGCTGCCAAAAACTTGCCCAAATATTTTTGCTTTGCTTGAGGGAGGGTTGGAACTTCAAAGGTGCACAAGCGCACACCTCTGACCAGCCAAAATGTCTTGCCATCTCAGTGTCCTGGTAAGCATTTCCTGTCAAATTGCAAATTGTACTGAACATTGACCAAGCAAAATTACTTTACTGCTCACTTGACAGCTGTTAAATGACAAGCTGTCAAGTGAAAAGCAAAGCCATGGAAAAATCTTTGCTTCAGGAAGATGCTATTGAATTACACTGAGGTCTAGTCTTGAAGTGCAGACCTGATAGTTCTAAGTATCCCCCACCTTTTCTACTCTTTCCAAAGCTTCTAAATGTTTGGCACAGGGGAAAAGTACATCCCATCCCATTTACAGGAGAACTTACTTTGACAGCAATGAAAAGAAAATGCTTCTTTTGAAATAGGATTTTCACATGGCTAAATAGGGAAATATTACCGATAGGGAAATGTGCAACCATAAAACCTGTGTACCTATGATCTACCAGCCCATCAGAAAATACAAAAATAAAACTGAAAATATGCACGTTTGTGGTGCTAAAAAAAATAGTGGTGAAGCAATGACAACCACTCTACTTGTGTACTCTGGAGGAGCTTTTATTGGTTATTGCTGGCACAGATTGCAAAAAGATTGTATGAGGGAAAATAGCTATGGCAGTGACTGAGAAGGGCTCATGAGTGGAGAGGGGTAAGTTGGGTTCAGCCGTCTTGAGTATTTGCTGGAGAATCAAGGCAAAGGGAGAGGGGGGACAACTCACAGTGCCCCTAATTGTCTTTTGATTGTACTGGGCTGTTCCACGAATCACCCACACTGCATAGCTTATTCTCAGAGTAGATTGCCATGTTATGTCACCTAATCTTGTGTAGCCTTCCTTTGACCCTGGCAGTCATGGAAACTGGTGAATTAGAAGCTTCCTGGTACAATTACTTAGGCTGAAATTGGAGAATCAAAGGGAAAAATGTGTAGGCAAAAGTCTTGTTCATAACGTAGTTTATTAAACCAACATGTGATCATTTAAAAGTACTCATTATATGAAGTGCTTCAAATACTCCAAATCACTATATCAATGCTTACTGTCAGGAACCTTTATTTTTCATTTTCATTCGAGTCAAGGAACAATGGTTTTCAGCTTTGGAATAAGCACAATATTCAACTTCGCATCGTGGTTTAATATCTTGCCTTATCCCAAAGTTGTTGACTGTGGCTAATTCCTGATTGATTGCATTGCTGCTTAGATTGTTTTCCATGTGGTATTGTATAAGTAAAGTAGAAAAGCTGGGCTAGGTGAAATGACTATATAATTATTAATTAGACATCAATGATGGGATGGTATATAACTGAATACTAAATAGATCTTGGTAATTTATGTTTTTCAGAGAGCTCATTGTGCCATTTGTACTGATCGGATATGGGGCCTGGGGCGCCAAGGCTATAAATGCATCAATTGTAAACTCCTAGTTCACAAAAAATGTCACAAACTTGTCAGCAGAGAATGTGGCCGGCATCCACTACCACCAGTAAGTGATACCAATAGCTGTAACTCTCGAGAAGCAAGTATATGCTGTGTACGCCAATACAGATGCTACTTTTTCTGAACTATTTTGCTAGCCAAATAGATTTCATCTGTTGTGGCTGAACAGAATATGAAAGATGTGGGGCCTTGAATTCTACAACAAACTTTGATTTCTGATCAGAGTTGTGCAGCTTGATCTAAAGCATTTTTACTTAAAAGCAAGTTGTATTGAGTTCAGCAGGATTTCTCCTCAAGTAAAAGTGTGTAGAATTTCAATCTGGTCAAGAATTGCAAGTGCAAAGTGCACTTGCTGCAAATAATTCCTTGTAAAAAACTGAAAATGTATGCTCTTTCGCCTTTCCATAGGAGCCTATGGATCATTCATCGGTGCATCATGATAACATAGAGCCAGGTAGGAACAGTACTTATCTTTATAATGAAAGGACCAGATTATAATCTTGCAGATGTTTTGATGATTATCCATCTGCATCATTAATATTTCAGGTGTTAAGCCTGAAGTGGGGAATATGTAGATTTCAAATTTTGGCAGTCCTAACTAGCACAAACTATGGTGATGGATGATGGGAGCTACACTCTAATATCTGGTGGGCCAAACATTCCCCACTCCTATTTTAAAGCTACTTTTGCTATTTTGTTGGTTTAAATAAGTAGCTGAAATTAAGTTAATGAATCATTTATCAGTACGCTGTGCAAACCTTCTAAAAGCAAGTTCTTTCAAATACAGAGTATTGGGAAGAACTGCAAAGAATGGGCACAGCCATGGTTTCCCCTTAAATTTTGTATAACTTAATGTACTTTTCTGTATGGATGGGTAAGGTGACTTCATAATATGGAGGGTCATACATAACCAAATAAAAGCAATTCCTTTATCGAAGTTCTATCAGATTAAGTCAGTTTATGGACTTAGGAGGCATGAATGCAAAGGAGAAGTACTAAGAACTTGCAATGATTTGTAGGTTTGATGTTTTTTTTAATTTCAGTGATTCCATATCATCCTTCAAGTCATGAAAGTTTGGACCATGTTGGCGAAGAAAAAGAGGTATTCTAGTTCTTTTCTGTTTTGCATCTGTGCCAAATTACTAGTACATTTCTAAACTTCTAAGAAAGTTTCCCTGTCAGTTAGTATAATGTTACTCTGTCAGTGCCTACAGAGAGCAGCTGGTAGTCTGAAAATTTTTTCTGTACTATTGAGGGAAATGTTACTTAAATGTGTCCATCTATTTATAGGCAACAGGTATTAGAGAAAGTGGCAAAGTATCTTCAAGTCTGGGTCTCCAGGATTTTGATCTACTTCGAGTTATAGGCAGAGGAAGTTATGCAAAAGTACTTCTGGTTCGTTTAAAGAAGACAGAACGCATTTATGCAATGAAAGTTGTGAAAAAAGAACTTGTCAATGATGATGAGGTGAACAATATTTTATTAACTGAACAACTCTTTAAATTCTACATACACTGCTCATCTGAATGGTAATTCTGTTTTTTCCCCCCTGCCCTGTAGATTCTGTGTAGTTGGGTTACAACCAGCTGCCTCATAGCTCTTCAGTCTCCCATGTCTTGCCTGGTCTTTCCCACTCCAACCCCTTGTGCACCCAAATACCATTCTGATGTTTGGGGGACCCCTCAGATTAGTATGCAGGTAGGGTGGGGATTGGCAACTCCCCTAATGTGTACAGGGAAGCGACTTCACTGAATTAAAACTGTCCTGGCAGTTTAAAATGCACTGAGATTTTGGTGGATTGACTACTTCTTGGGAACATCCCCAAGCCTCATGTTTAAGAATAAATATCAACACTCTATACTATATTGTACTCTTAAGTGGTTTCTCAGACTGGATTTGTATTTCAGTCATAACCGTATTGCGAAACTCCAGCTAACTGTGGGCACTTTAAGATAGTAGAGTTAGCTATGTAGAGTTAGCTCTAAGATAGTAGAGTTAGTTATGTTAGAATTCATAAAGGATTTTTCCATTGCAGGCAACTTAAAGACTGGGGAGTTTAATCCTATGGTGAAATAGTACTGGCATGTAATAATGTAAAAATAGCATGAGCCTTCAGTTAGATTGCAGGAACTCATGAGGAATTTTGTGGACAGAGGACTTGACTCTGATTTCCAGTTTTAGAAAAGGATGTGGCTTTCTTTTCCAGAGTAATTATACACTTAAGGCTGATAGCATGTCTGCCTACAAAAACCAGATATGGAATTCATATTGTTGCTTATTTTCTGTTTGACTGTTAAATTTATTTTGACTTGCCTTAGTAGATCACTCTAGAGCCTTTGTTTTCCATGATACTCACCAAAACTGTTATAAAATTTATGCTGACTGCATATTCTTTAACAGGATATTGATTGGGTTCAAACAGAAAAACATGTCTTTGAGCAGGCTTCAAATCATCCTTTCCTTGTGGGTTTACACTCTTGTTTCCAGACAGAAAGCAGGTAATTTTGCAAAAAGATTTTTGATTTCTCTTTATGTTGTCATAGTATACCATCAGAACTATTCCGAGAGTAAAGTGTGATTAGCAAGATATGTGAGCAACATTTTATGCAGCTTCATCACAGACTTGAGTGATGGGTTCCTTGCAGCACCAGAGGAAGCTGGTCAGGAGGCAATCTTTACTTAATTGCAAAAATGATTTTCAGAAGAGGGCTAGATGTACAAGAAAACCTTCCTAAGAAGGGATGGCATAATGTAAAACTACATGCAGAAAAACAGATTTACTAAAGAGGGTTAGGGCAACCATAGTAGTTAGATGGAAGTCACTTCATAATAGAGTGTAGAATCTCAGTAAAATGAGTTGTTATACTAAACAGCTGAATGATAAAAAAATACAGAGTGGTGATAGGAATATAATACTTTAGTGGATCAAGTATCCTTTTGAAAACAAAGTTGCATATATGAAGCAGTTAATGATTTGAGACTAGGAACCTAGGGAGAGAGGGTGGGAGAACTGGTAGAAAAATGATGATAAACTCTTTTTTAACAGTATTCTCCATGTCATGTATCTTGTGCCATAAATATCAGTATACATGCTTGCTTACCTACAGGAGTGTGGTATCAGAGAATCATAGAATAGTAGAGTTGGAAGGAACCAGAAGGCCATCAGGTCCAATCCCCTGCTACTGCAGAATATTAAGTTATACCATCCCATTTAGGATATATGCTCAGGCAATTGTTTTTAGGGGAAGGTTAGGACGTCCTAGAAGAATTAGTAGAAGGACTATTGACACATGAATCTTGAGATATTTAGGGTCATGATTGTGTCCCCCGTTCCCAATTTCTCCCCACAATTCAAGCTAACAATGCATGACTAAGAGGAGAAGTAGTGAACAGAATATGGTTACACTGAAAAAACTCACAAAGCAGGGGTAGGATGGAGGATGAATAAGTGCATATGATCATTATGTGGGTTGGATTAACTGGGGGATGTGGGAGAGGAAAATATTTAATGTGAAAGCATAACTTCTTCAGTTTATGTTGATTATAGCAAAGTGGACCATGATTGCAAAGAAACAGAGGAGAAGTAATCTGTTTGTATGTTTTACCTTTGTTTTTCAGACTATTTTTTGTTATAGAGTATGTAAATGGAGGGGATCTCATGTTTCATATGCAGCGCCAAAGGAAACTACCAGAAGAGCATGCCAGGTATGATTCTCTTATTGTGACTTAATGGAAAATCCCATTTTGTTTGTTCATGTTAAGAAATACTTGTTTGTCAGTTTAATTCCTGAAATGAAACAATTGCCATTTGGGTAACATTCTATCATATGTTACAAAAGATGCTAAAAATGGATCCTGTTTCAATTTAGAAGATTAAAGTAGTTTTTCTTGGTCTGGACTTTATAATGGTAGATGCCACCAGTACCAAGTTAGTGTCCCAGTGCTCTGCTTATTCTGTTGCAGCATGGCAGTAAGGAGGGTGAAAAGTCACTTTTTTCTAAAATAAATGTTTATTTTCTAGATTTTCCTTAAATTTCACAAGAGCTACAGTCTGATCCCCATTGGCACATTTGATAGGATCCTGACCCAATAAACCCGTTGAAACTGCTTATATTAATATTTTATTAACTTCCATAAGCAAAAGAGAAGTAGCAGCAACATCTTGCTGCTCTTAGTATGTGAAGTGGATGGGATTAAACAAAATTGGAGAACATTAAAACATGCCCAATGGAATTAGAGGAAGTTACAGGATGGTGAAGGGGTCTTTATTTCAATAAATAAAGAGTTATTGTAATAAAGAGTTACAATTACAATTACAGAGATGAATCCTGTAATTGATGACCAAATGTGTGGAGCTACTTCTCAGAATAAAATGACATTATTTTTCAACATCTGGAGACTTCAACTCTTTATTCCATTGGTTAGTGTTAATATGTATCATTACTTGGAATTCTTGGAGCTCATCTGTAATGGGAAAGTCAGATTGAGCGATTATATATTGTTGTACTCCAAGCTTCTGAAGGACATAGAACTTCCTTGAGCAATTGAATTTGAACTGAATAAACAGCAGAGAAAGTACGGAAAGGCAAATTTTGAGAAGTAATGTGGCAAAAGGTTGACTTTTAGGTTTTGCTGGAAAGCTTGAGCCAAGCCCTAAGTTTAGAATGGGAGAGTTTCATAATGTTTGATATACACCACTGTTAGTTGCAGCCTTATTTTTGAAGGCTTATAAATACAACATTTTAAATTTCGTTTTAGGTTTTATTCTGCAGAAATCAGTTTAGCACTAAATTATCTTCATGAAAGAGGAATAATTTATAGAGACTTGAAACTGGACAATGTGTTGCTGGATTCTGAGGGGCATATCAAACTGACAGATTATGGCATGTGCAAGGTGAGAGGCAAAATTTCCAAACATCTTTAAGTCTGATATTCCTGACTGGGTGCACATGTGTTGTAGTTTTTTTTATGAAATTGGCTTAATTAAAATATATATTCAGTGATAGAACCAAATTATTTTGAAATGGAAAAGTCAAGAGAAGGTCCATCAGTAGACTGCAGATGTGTTGGTCAGAATCTGTGGTTTCTCAAACCTAGTAACAAGCAGGAGTATAAAATGTGAGAAGAATATCCATGCTTCTTCCCATGTACATCAAAATGAAAAACACTTACAAATACATTTTCTGATAAGTGTTCATAAATCTTTGAAATTATTTTCCATTTATTATATCTAGTGGTCTCTATTTTTTTCTAAGAAAAGCTCTAGTTTTCTCTTACTTTAGCCTGACAAGGGACTTTATTTTCCCCTTGTTTTGAGTGAGCAAGTTTTTAGGCAAGTTTATTATTAATTATACTTTTTATATGCTGAAAATGTCAAAGGCAGCTAACAATAATAAAAATAAATTAAAAAACCAATCTTAAACATGAAAGCAAATCCATAAAAACCATTAAATAAAGCAATAAAAGAAACAGCACCAACCCTCTGAAAATATATTTAATGACTAATATTTCACTTCAATTTACATTTGATATTATGCCAGCTAATCACATTGTTAAAAGGTCTAAAGTGCATCTAGGTCATTAAGCATACCAAAGTGCATTTCAGTTTTGTCTTAGATTGTGATGCGTTTCCCATACAGAAGCATTTCCTCATTTTCAAATTTTCTGCTTCAGTTGATAACGAAGGAAAATGGTCAGAAAGCCAGCCAGTGCCACTTGTGTCACACAGGACAATCAGGGAGTGACATTCAAGCAATTATCATGAATTGTTATGTGCACTGTACACCTTACCCACCTGCCTTTCCTATGTATAAAGTAGCCAGCAATTCCATATGAAAAAAACTGTCAGAGTGAGTTCAGGTGTTGTACAATTATAATAATCAGAAGAAATCTTTAAATTAGATAAGGTACCTTCCCTCCTTGTTTCCACTTTTACAGGAAGGATTAAGGCCTGGAGATGTAACTAGCACTTTCTGTGGCACTCCCAACTATATTGCTCCTGAGATTTTGCGTGGAGAAGATTATGGTAAATAATTTGGACTTCATCTTTTGTTTCTTCTTAATATTTTTTTTATTTTCTCTACTGTCTTAACATTAAGAACATCAGTTATTTAACACATTGGAGATACTGCGTGGACATCTTACTCTTTTTAACAGCAGTAGCCATATTCAGTTCTACGCATAGTCCCGTTTCTCTAACCAATGTCTTTTGTTTCTTCTTGTAGCCATTTCCATTATCAATAAAATGTGGAAATCCTATTTTTAATTAAACTTTTCATGCCATTGATCAAAGCAAAAAATGTACTTTGCAGGTGAAGACAGCTCTTAATTTACAGGACAAACATAGTTGTCTCCATGTTATATTGATGATGACATAGAAATTAATAATATCAGCTTCCAGTCTCAGAATTTAGGGGGGTAGCACAACAAGCAGGCACTTCTGTCATAGCATGTTAGCGTGAAGCTGCTGAAATGCGTGGGGCAGTATGGTGGTGGGTGTTGAAGCTGAGCCCTGACAAACAGATGGTTATGTGCAAGTTTAGAACGGTAGTTATAAAGTAGAAAAGAACGCTTGCTAATGCAGAGGTAGGCAAATTTTGGAGTGTTTTTTCCTTTAAATGAGTTCAGTGGGTGTACAGTCATAGGGTGTTCCAGGTAAAGTGCTGAATTCTACCACACAACACATGCAGACACATGCACAAACATATACACTCTGACTGGTGAATGATGTAAGTTGTAAACCTAGTACTGCTCATGGGATATGTTTTGGAATCCCCCCCCCACCCCATAATTTTTCCCTACTGTATTTTTTCACACTGCTGGTCGGGGTGGCTGTCATGATATTCTTCATAGAAATCCCTACTAGCATATAAAAAAATAGCATGTTGGGGAGAAAGCGAGACTTGAAACTCTTCCTCCCCTTCTTACACATTTGGTTTCTGTATCCATGGAATTATACTTCATCTGTTTTGAGACAAGCAGACCATAGTATATACTGGATTCACATGTAATTACTAGCTGTGGGTGAAACAGCTCATAGTTAGGCAGGTGCCAAAGCATGCAGCTATACTTCTGTTTGTGCTCACATCACTTCCATGTTGCAACCTGTTTTTCAAATAATTCTGATCATTTGATTTGATGTTTGTACCTGGAACTCTGTCTTGTAGAGGGGCAAACAGCTTTAACCTAACAGAAGTCAGAGTCTGAATTTCTTTTCTCTCAGTAACCCAGGAACAAGGCATCCTTGGGTTGTTCTAAAAGCAGAGCAGCTACAAGACTGCATGCCTGCTCAGTTCTGACTAACCATGGGTTAATTAACTCATGAATTGGCATTACATGCAAACTGGGTGATGCTGATCATGAGGATGTGGTTTTAAAGCCTGTACATTCTTATCCATATAAATCTGAATCCTTGCTTACATAACTAGCTAAGTGCAGATCACCTTACTGCTATATCTGTTACATTATATCATATTTTAAAAGGCTTTGTCAAATATACATGCTGATTATAACCCTTGAAGGTGTCATATTGTCTTATTTTAAACCATAGGATTTAGTGTGGACTGGTGGGCTTTAGGTGTCCTCATGTTTGAAATGATGGCAGGAAGATCACCTTTCGATATTGTTGGAAGTTCTGATAATCCTGATCAAAACACAGAAGACTATCTTTTTCAAGGTAAGTAATTTCAGATAATGATGTTCAGCTACCCCATACCATGTTCAGTGGACTGTGCATTCATTGAAGTAGCAGCGAGCTATAATTAAATGGTGAAGCAAACCTTGTAATGATTCAGTATACTTAAAGCACAGCAGTGATGCAAATAAATCACTTAAGTGGCTCAAAGGAGAGCATACTTCATAGAAGATTGCAGGAGTTTTCTATGAGATTAATAAGATACTATGTGGCATCAAAAGTAACCATCCATTGAAATCGTTTAGTCTGATGTTAGCAACTTTTATCATTGTGCCTAAGTCACCAGACATATTTATTTTTAGATTTCTAAAACATTCATGAAATTTGGATCCACTTAATTATTCTAGTTATTCTGGAGAAGCAGATCCGTATTCCAAGGTCCCTTTCTGTGAAGGCAGCAAGTGTTCTGAAAAGCTTTCTTAACAAGGTAAGAGTTCACACTGTATCTGGGTTGAATTTTTGTTGTTAATTTTATATATTGCAGGTATAAATCTGAGAGGACAAAGTTAGAAGAAAACAGGTTCAGAATTTGGTGTGTGAGAAGAAATATCATGAAAGCACTTTAACAATATTTGGACTGAAACTTATTACATTTAAGTCCATGTGTGTTTGTGTTGGATTAATTTCAGTGGGATTTATTACTTTGAACTGGCCCACACAGGTCCCCCATCCAGCCCCCTTCCCAAGCTCCCACCACCTGGAGGTTAGCTAGGAGAGGGATCCCCATTATTATCACTAATCACTCTTGGGTGATAATACTGGAAATTCCAAGATTCCTATCAGTATGCTACTCACTGTCTCAGTAGGGAGGTTGCTTTAGTGATTTGCGTGCATCCTATGCAAGAAGCCACCTTAGCTGAGATGTGGGTGGAAGAGGTTCAGTCAGGGGCAGCTGCATTTTGCATAAGCTTTCCTTGGCTGGAACTGCAGAAGAACCATGGCCCTGTCCCCTGTTGTCATCCATTCCATTGAGCTACCACTGATGCCCAAGGAGGGACATCTAGTTTTCCACCTAAAATAAGTGCCCTACCCCTGGTTTAGTCCTTTCATTAGATACTTGGGGACAAGCTAGATGTGATGTTTGGCCTTGCATGCTGATTTTTGTTTAATAAAGAGCTGATATGAGTGGAGCTGTTCAGTTGGAATCAGTCCCCTGCTTCTGTTGCTCACAAAAGGAGAAAAGACAGACCACAGAGAAAAGACATTTAGTGAACAAAACTAAATAGTTTGACCATAGTTTTGTTAACTTCTGAATCTTCACACTTCCTGGTTGAGCATATGTGCATCTGACTTCATCTTTTGTTTTTTGCTTAAACTAGATTTAAAAGGTTATATAAATACTGTGGAAAGTGAATTAAAGCTTTAATATTAACATTAAATGACTTAATGGCTGTGCTAAGCTTGCTACTAAACTATCTCTATTAAGACTGTTAGATCTTATCTAAAATTTTAGATAAGAAAATTTAATGATTTCCACCTATGAGCAGATTAATATGAATACAATATCTTTTAAGCTTTGTCATAAAGAAAGCAAAATAGAAACTTGTAACCCAAGCTGTTGTCTGAATGCATATGATGCAGCAATTTTGATGAGGCTAAGCATGCCTGAAACAAGTCAGTAACACGGTAGGACATTTCTAAGAGCTCTAGGGATGCCATCTTATAAGTATTTAGGGAAGAAGGTGAGATATAGTCACTGTTCTTAAAGCAGTTTGAATGGATAGCAGATTATATCATCATAATCTGAACTAGAGATACATTTAGTACACATCAATCTTGGTTGCAGCTGCAATAGTATAAATTTGATTTTCACTAATTATCTTTCTATATTTTTTCTACAATAGGATCCAAAAGAACGTTTAGGATGTCATCCTCAAACAGGGTTTGCAGATATTCAGGGCCATCCATTTTTTCGTAATGTTGATTGGGATCTGGTAGGTATGCAATGTATAATTGTAGGAGTTTTATATACAGTAAATTATTGAGGTTTTTTTCTGTTCAATTACCCTTTGTCACTAGAAGTGAAAAGTTGTTGACTATTCTCAGTTTTCCCCATACATTTTGTATTCAAAGCATTTATTATTAGTAAGAGCTAATAGTATATTAAGTATAATCATACTAGCATGTCTTTACTTGGTATACTTTCAAAAGTTTGGAAATATGCACCAAAAGGGACATGTTGTCAGTTCATTGTAATAAAGCAGTAAGATGAGGTGAGGAATTCTAAACTTGCATAAATAATCTAGTCAGTTGTTTCCCCTTCCAAGGGACATGTGAATTCACTTTCATGCAAAACTATTAAAACTATCCCTCCCTCCCTTTCTTTTAACAAATACTGTCTAATTCTGTTTGAACTTATTCCTAGATGGAACAAAAGCAGGTAGTTCCTCCATTTAAACCAAATATATCTGGAGAATTTGGTTTGGACAATTTTGATTCCCAGTTCACAAATGAACCTGTTCAACTCACTCCTGATGATGAGTAAGTAAATATTTACTTATATTAGTAAATAAGATAGGCCACTCTTTTGTAAACCTCAGTTAGCCCACTTGCTGCTGTGACATGCAAGCAGTACATAATTGCTAATACTTTTATGGCTAAATGGAAATTTTCATGCTCAGAAACCTTATTGCTTAGGAGTAGCAACAGGCAGAGCTATCAGCACTGCATCTCTCTTGTGAGTATCCTGAACACATTCCCCTAGCTACTGTTGACAATAGGATCCTGGCCCAGATGGCTCTTCTGTCTGATTGATGGTGACCACTCTTATGATCCTAGAGATAAACAAGGACTCCTCACTGTGCTCAACAGAAAGGCAATTGGTAGATCTTACAACTCAATATCAACTTTAAGATTGTTATGGCCAGAGCACAATTTTGCTACTCCTTCCTTAGATGGCTCAGTATAGTAAAATGCCTAATGCTTGGTCAGATGTTTTGTCCCTCTAACTCAAAGCTGCTATTTGGGTCATATGGGCACAACTTCAGAGAATCTATTTTAGAAATGTGTAACTCAGCTCTACTTCAAAGTACTTGAGGTAATGCACAATATATAAAACATTAACTCAGGGTCTGTATTATTTCTTTTCTGTCTAGTAACATATACAGTGCTGCCTTGTAGTTTAAATGACTAACAACTTCGAACAATCCAGAGTTTGAAAGTGGGAGATAACATGGCGCTGCAGTTTGAACCATGCTTCCAAGTTCAAACTGCGAGCAAAGTGAAAAAAAAGTGGCCGCAGCAAAAACATCAGTTGTTCACCCAAGTTGAAGAAAAAATTATTACAGTAAAAGACACATTGCCATTAATCAAAATACTCCCCCTTGTTTCGAACACACTTACCCCATTGTTCTTGCCACTTTCTGAAGCAGTTCTGGAAGTCCTCTTTCATGAGTGCCTTTAGTTTTGAATCGATTCATCTTGTTTTCAATCAATTCAGGACATCTAGGCAGCCACGACAGTGCAACTAAAGACATGCACAAAAGAGGACTTCCAGAACTGCTTCAGAAGCGGGGGGGGGGGGGGGGGGGGGTGTGGGGGGGGGGGGGGGGAGTATTTTGATTAATGGCAATGTGTCTTTTACTGTATTTTTAAAAATTTAACTGTATTTTTTTATCACACCTCGTATATAACCTTAAGATTAATTCTTTTCAGGAGGCCATATTTGCAGTTTAAGTTTACCAACATGGGTATTGTTTAGGGCCTGTTCACTCTAATTCACTTTCCATTACTTATAATGGAGAAAATTGAACAATTTTGAACAATTCAGAGTTCAAATGGCCTCCTGAAACAAATTAGGTTCGCAGTAACTTGGAGGCTCATTAGAGAGTGGCAATAGTGTGTACGTATTACTTTCTGTTTCAAGATTAGATAATACTGGTTATGAATATTTGAAAGAAACCCAAGACAGACTGATATGCAAAGGCAATATTGTAGAACAAGAGCAATGTAGCAGTTAAGTAAAGGTGACATTTCTTAGAGCTGGACTGGGTTACAGTTTTTTCACAGCTTCTGGTATTTCTTGAAGTTTAATGATAGGCAATGCACCTAACAAAGTATTTATCACCTCCACAAAACTAAAAATTCCTAGGGCATCTTGTGGGAAAAGATACCAAAGAAGCCAATATAAAACAAGCTAGCAGTAGTTTTTATTCCAATTAGAGCCCTGATGAGCATCTTTCTTTAGGAACCAGTAGAATCACTTTATAAATATTAATGCTATTTCTGACAATAGATATTTCATTATTACACTGTTTTTCCTTTCAGTGATATTGTGAAGAAGATTGACCAGTCAGAATTTGAAGGCTTTGAATATATCAATCCCCTTCTGATGTCTGCTGAAGAATGTGTCTGAGCTCCCACTTCCATACTGTGCCATTTTTTTGCTGATAATGTTTTTCTGCATGGATGAACAATTTACTTTTGGGAAGCAACTGATAAGACACTTAACTTTGTCATTTGACAACCTAGTATGTACTCTCCATTAACTTGCTATAAACAGAATGCTTTATTGGAATATAAAACATTAAAACAGATTTTGCCAAAGTTGAACTCTTACACTGAGGCAACTGTTTGCCTTTAGGCTGATTAATATGAAATAGAGGACATTACAAGCTACTCTACCTGAAATGTAATGAAGCTCTGTTTTTAAAGTACTTCTGATAAAGAGCACCTGGTGGGTTAAGTTACAAAACAAATCCTGGTTCACACTTAAAGCTAAACACTTGGTTTAGGGACTGAGCCACAAGATTGAAAATGTTGTTCTTCTCTTCTAGCTGTTTTCAGTTAATGTATCTGCTTGTTGCCAAGCCATGTTAAAAGAAACATATGTTACCAGATTCACTTTTGAGAACACTGATTAAGCTGCTTTTTAGATTGCATTTTGAAATACATTCACATTGGTGAGGATAAAACCAAATCAGATAGAAGGTAACAGAGGATGTTGCACATAATAGCACAGTCTGCTCCTAATCTTTACATCTTAGTTTAGCATTTAGTGTGTTACAGTTCTAGGGCTCTGATCCTATGCACACTTAGAAGTGAGCCTTATTGGAATTGGTAGGAGTTACTTCTGAGTAACCCTGCATAAGATAATATACTTCCAAGACTGTCTTTTATACTACAGTTGAGGCAACTCTTCAGGTTCATAGCTGAAGCCTTGCTATTTCCTTAGACTTGGTAACAATAACACAACATTTACTTTAACCTTGATTGAGTCAAGGGTGGATACATGCTTTCTTGGCAGGGGTGATTTTGCATGTGACATAAGAAAATTTTGCTTTTAAGAACCAGGTGGTAAACTTGACTTCAAAATTACTTTTCCTTTGGCACTACAGTCATTTGGTACACATGCTTGCTAAGTAAATGAGTGCCTTCCTGAGCTTGTCCTTGCAGAAAGGGCTAATATGAAGTATGCTGTCAGTTAAAGGTAATTTGCTTTTTTTTAAAGGAAAAGTAGTATTCAGCACAAATAGGCAGCTAATGTTCACAAATAAGACTTATGCTATCTTTTTCATATTAATGTAGCTTCTGTTAAGGTAGATCAGAAATTTTCACAAATTGATACACAGTTCTCATACTGCCACTTTAAAGTTTGAAAAGAATTCCATCACCACTGCAATCGGATGTCTCTATGAATGTGATTGGAGAAGTAGCTAGTATTTAAGATCCTCTTATAGTTCTATACATTCAGTTCTTATATATTTGCAAATGTTTTCTGAATGCAACCATATTAGGATAAAATAAAAATTCAAAGCAGTTAGAGTTGTAAAATTTCTAGAGATGTTGAAGCCCTGGGGGAGAAAAACAAACAGCAGAAAATGAGAAAGAAAGAAGCAATAGTTTTTAGTACACTTTATAGATCTAAAGTTATTTTGTTGCTTTAGGATAGCTATCCCAAACCTGGTGCCCTCCGGCTGCATGACCAGAGGTCAGGAATGCTGGGTTTTGTAGTTTAGCATATCTAGTGAACAGCAGCCTTGATGTTCCTAAAGTTTTATGTTATATAACTTGGTTTGCTCATAGAATTACCATTATTTAAAATGTTTCAAAATTCTTCCAAAAGGCAACCTTATGGAGATGCCTGCTACCCTCCAAATATGCAGGATTATAAGCATAATGTAGGGGGTGGGTAACATCTGTGCTTTTCTGTGCTGCAGAGCACCTAGATGCATTATTTTTGGCTAAGTGCAGCTCTTTAGAATGGGTAGGAAGGAGGCTGAGGCATCACCAGGATACCTTGTGTCCTGGCAGTGCGGCCCCCTCAGAATGCCTCCAGAAGTCTTCTCCAAGGTTACATTTACAACCTTAAAGAACCAGCCACCATGGTTTCTTCCATGCCAACTGAGGAGGAGTGAGGAAAGGGGATCTTAGGATGAATTCCCAGCTTAGAAGTTCACAGTGTTGAAAGTAGGCCTGTGGCCATTTATACATTTTCTAGAAGCTATAGGATTGTGCTCTTAGCAAATCCGTAATTAATGGCTGAATGGAGCACCCTTCTAATATATCAAATACTATTTTATGAGCAAACCAAATTATAAATAGGAAAATATATCCTGTAGGTCTGATCAGAGAGAACTTCAGCAATTAGTCCCTGAAACAACTGAATCATCCTGGAAGCCAAAAGAAGCAGAAGGAAAACTGATATAAAGCATTTGTTCTTGTTTCTATGGAAGTATAGTGAAATTTCTAAACCTGTCCCTTTTTGTGAGGTAAATCTTAGAGAAATCTGATCTGATGGAAAACCCATTAAGACATTATTTAGCTGAAAAAGAGTCAGATTAGGAATGGTAAGCAACCTTTATTTAATTTAAGAATCCTTAAGGAATCTCAACCAATTATTTGAAGAGTGTTGTTTGATTCACTTTAGTACATGTTTTTTGTTTGCCACTAGAGACAGCCATTCACAACAATCTCAATGCAATAAGCTATGCCATAGAAACCAGTCTACTAAGTTCCTTTTTGGCAGAGTAGGGTTATTCTAGTGGTAGCAGTTATAGCTAAAGCAGTCATTCCTAGTTGTGAGGTCTAATTGTGAACTTTATTGAAAACTATGGCCATGAATTTTATAGCCCTAAGCCTCAGAGTTAATTTTTAAGGAGGGATGACCTACATGCTTTTCTGTTGTATTTGGTAGTGAGATAACCTACAGTGTTTCTTTCACATGTGAGTTATAGATTAGGGCTATTTCAGCTGACTGCTATAGCATCTAAGCAGAACAAGTGTAGAAACACAAGATTCGGTCAAATAAAACCCAGATGGTCAAGAATGCACATTTCCTTGCATCCTATGGTAAAGGGATTTTACTCACATATTTGCAAAACTCTGCATGACTTGGAGAATTCCCATTAGATCAATAAATTCAATAAGGAATGGAATAACTATGCAGGGCACCTGACAGGATTAAAAACATTTCCCCCCCCCCCCCATGGCTTCATTATTTCCAGGTATTTTCCATCTCCCTGTCTTCCTGTAAAGCTGTTTGCATTAACTGTTTCCCCCCACATTTTTCTTTTTTTAAATCTTAGCATTCACATCTCTAAAATAATTTACATAACTGAATGAGCGAATTCTAAAAGTCTGCATATAATGGCATGCCAAATAAAATCCCATATTGCATTCTAAAAATCAAGGAACCACTGGCTGGAGTTATCAGTTATGTGCTTTGCTTGATTATAAAGTACTTATAAAGAAATATAAATAGGCCATGTAGAAATACACAATGCTAAACTTTAATCTGAATAGATGCAGTGGAATAATAGTGCAAAACCAAGTACATCATGGCCTTCTATGATGTTAATCACTTTTACCTACTGTCTTTTATGGTATATTTCTGCATCAAGGCAAAAAATTGCCTGTTAAAACTGTATATATTAGATTCATTCTACTTTCAACAGGCTGATAGGTTGAACAGGAAGAATTATCCACTTTGATACTTGACCAAATGCATGTCATTTACAGGGTACCTCTAAAACTAACTGCGCTATAAATGACTGAATTAGTTATCTGTGTTTATATTCTTTTGGAGCAGATGAGATATTTGTTTGTGGTATAATGTAAATAATTTATTTCATTTGAGTTATACTTATCAGATTGTTTTCTAAAGTGTCTGAAAATAAGCCACTAACAGTGATTCACTTTGTAAGCTGCATGGTACAAAATGGCTGTGTATCAGAGGTACATTTTTTGACTCGCACAATTAGTGATTGAAATTCTAACATCCAAGATTTTTCTGTTTCCAAGCACAAAAGCAATGAATTTTCAGATGTTATAATATACTCCCACCCTGTATATATCTTTGTAATATATATATATATATATCATGTTGTGATGTCAACTTTAGCAAAGATTTGAGTGGTATGTTAAAAACAAATGTCAATTTTTTGATTTATTTTTTCATATCTGTTTCAGACAAGTGCCATGGTATAAACTGTTCATTTTTAAACTTTTTAAATATGTCAAAGCTGTCTTAAAATATTGAACAGGGAATTCAGACATGGACAGCTAATGCAGCATGATGTTGGGAAGTAACCTTTCTTTTTAGTATAAATATTGAACTGATGAGTGCTTCTTCTCATCTTGTACTGTATGTTTCTTTCATTTTTCAGTCTTGGTTATTATGCTGTGTAATCATCTATATGTCTACATATTTTTTTACTGTTCATTTTAAGTTTCAAAATAAAGCAGGGCTTTTGTTTTAAATCCTATACACTTTTGTGTTCTTTTCTCAAGTATTCTAACTAGCTTTATTTACTTATTTTACTATTATATGCAGGTGGCGCAGTGGTTTAAACTGCTGTGCTGCTGGGCGGGTTGATTGAAAGGTTGCCGGTTCGAATCTGCACAAGGGGGTGAGTTCCCGTTGCTCCGTCCCAACCTTGCAGTTCGAAAGCATGCAAATACAAGTAGATAAAAAGGTACCACTTCGGTGGGCAGGTAGCAGCGTTCCGTGCACTTCGATGTTTAGTCATGTCGGCCACATGATCATGGAGACTGTCTGCGTACAAACGCTGGCTCCCTCGGCTAGGTAACGGAGATGAACACTGCCCCCTAGAGTCAGGCATGACTGGACTTAATGTCAAGGGGAAACCTTTACCTTTACAAGAACATGTGAAATATTTGACCAGTTAACAAAGAATTGGGCTACAGTGAAAAATAACTCTCAAATTCTAAACTATCACAGAAATCTGTAAACAGGGCATAGTATTCAAGATGGAGTGATGCTAATTAGTAAAAAGGAATGCATTGTTAAAGTATTATTCAATCAGGTTTGTTGTCTTGATCCCTCAGACCCACTGAGGGTATCTGTAATATTGAGCCTAGATTCCTTATTCTGATGTCGTCCTTGTGTGTCCCTGCTGGGTGGAGAGAGTGGCTCCTAGGAAAAAGGGCTTTTTCAGGGGTAGAACCTCTCTTACAAAATGTACTTTCCAGAAAGTCTTGTTATTTTGGCACCAGCTGAAATCCTTTTTTCCCTCAGACCTTTTAATCTTTCATTTCTAATTTTGTTTGATTCTCTATCACATTTTTATGCAACTTTAATATTGTTTAGTTTTATTATACAACTATATTTTCTGTGTGTCTTTTGCTTTGTTATAAGCCACTCGGAGAACTTGGTTATGGACAGTGGTGCTATTAGAGCGGGACTTTGGGATAGAGGTCCAAGACTCTCTGCTCAGCAGAAGAGCCATCAAATGCAGCAGGGCTGGGTTGCTATATTTTGAAATGAATTAAAAAATGCACATTAGCATCTGAAGAGTGGGGGCCTCGAATTACCTAGCTGTGCCACTGGCTAGATGATGATGTAATGGGGTTGTTTCCTCCAAACCCACCCTCTGCTGCTAAAATCCTGGGTATATATTGCATGCATCTTCCTCCTCTTTGCAAGAGCAAACATAATAATTACCTTATATGACTGCAATGACTCTATGACTCAATGAACCTATTGTTAGTTTTTGAAGCAGACCAGGCAGGTAGGACTTGAACCTTGGTCAGAGTCCAAGGAGAAATGGTGCATCTTGGCTCATTAGGACTTCCATTCTCTTGAATTTGAACTTGCTATTAAGCCATGTTCCAGCATCACTGACTCTCTGAATCCTACTCTTCTGCCTTCTGTTGTACACCTGACCAACAGGTGAGTATTCATTCGCTTCTGTTCATTGTTTAAAAGGTTATAGTAGTAAAAGATACTAACCTATACTAAGTTCCTGTTTGGCATTAAGGCAGTGTTACTATCTTGTTTAGTAATATTAATGTATTTTTAATTGACATGAAACAGTGGTATGAGCTAACACACTTGGTTGTGGCTGATAGCAGCTTGCTTGTTATTGGCTTTTTTGTGGCCCTTCCTGGAGTGCTGCTACATCAGCGGATTTCTAAAAGACTGAATGCTGAATGCAGCAACGAGCAATTTATCCTCACCCAATCTGGAAAAGTTTACCTTCATCCTAAGCATATGGAGGTTGTAATTACTCAGCACTGAACTACTTGGGATAAGGACAGAGATCCTTTTGGTTTTCCAGGACTGAGCCATGTATTTAAAACAGACTCTTCTAATACTAAACTCCAGGAGGTCCAGTCGAAATAAAATTGTTTGCCAGTTATTTCAGTGCTTTGGAAAAGCTGATTTTTGAAAATTATAGTGGACATATGCAATACGGCAGGGGTGGCCTGACTGCTCAGTGGAAGAGCCACATATGGTAAGTGTGAGATGTCCGAGAGCTGCAAGTGGGTGCCCACTGGCAATAATGGAGGGGGGAGTGTGCAGGTGCCATGCAGCAGGGGGCACATGGGTGCCCAGGGGCACCTGCAGCAGCGAGCAGCAAGCTGCAAAATAAACTTGAAGAGCTGCAAGTAAATTTGCAAGCCTCACTTTGGCCACCCCTGCCATATAGCATGGCTTAATTTCTAAATGAAAGGTGCTAAGCTCCACTTAGTCTCTAGGAGTTAGGCTCCTGCCCTCCCACGTGGAAAGTACTATTACTGCCCCTAGATACGTAAATAATTATTTCTCAGTGGGAAGATTTATTTATTTCTGTAGTGCCTTTCTGAAATCTACCAAGACACACTGTATAAATGGTACTCTGCACATACATAAAAAGCATTCTTCCCTTTGTAAAAATCCTGGTGTGCAGGACAGGGAGTTTAAAAATCCCATCTCATCAACTCAGTTATTCTTGCAGCACAGAAGTGGTTATCCTTTGAGTTATTCATACATAGTCTAAATTATATAAAATGGGTGGATTTGCACATCATGCTAAGCCACCCTGCAAATAAGCTACATGGTGAATTCTATGCAGAACAGTCCATGCTGCGTCCAGCAGATAGTAAGGGTCACCATGGTTTGTTCTCTCCCCACCCCCCCACCCCTGGCTTGGTCGTCCACTCACTATTCCAGTGTCCTTTGCAGCAGAACCCTCTGTGTCTACCATCTGTGCCATAAATTGCTATCCCTTTTTAATTGCCACCATTAAAAAAAAGAGGTTCAGAAAAGTGCACTTGGAGTTGGTGCAGGGCTGGTCCCTGGAAATTACACAAATAATTACACATTATGTATTTCTATTCTTTCATGGGTGCGTAAGTGTGCACTTCAACTGCCTTGCCTTATCAACGATCATTTAAGTTTCAGCTATCAAATGCAGTCAGATATATGGCAATTGGCAAGGTGAGATTGCACATTGGCTAATTTATTTGCACACAGTGCTTAACTGTCAGATGAAGAGTAAAGGGAAAAGTAGTGAAAATAAGTGCACCAAAGGGGGATGGCAACAATATCACCTCCTTAACAATAAGATCCTTTGGTTTTTATGTGCTAAACCAATAGTTCAGTGCCTGCCACCTTTTCAATACTTCCCCAAGTCTCCATTTGCTCCAAAAAGAAAAGATACACACGTTTTTGGAGAACTTAGTGCAATTCCCTAACAGTTCAGAAGAAATTGCTTTTATAGAAGCGGAGACTGGGAAAGGATAAAAATTTAATGCCTGGCAAGTAAATAAAGGGAAATTGCATAAATTTGATTGCTGGGAGGTAAAAGGAGAGAAAACAGGTGTACCTGCAGTAACTGCTCCATTACTGCAGTTGCAAAAATCTTGCATCAATTTACTTCCCAGTTATTAAATTCATTTATATTTTGCAATCCAAAAGAGTGCAGATACTCCCAATGTTTAAAAGAAAAAGAGGTGGCAAAGCAGGACAGCAGTGTTGTCAGTTGCAGTAGGACTTAGAGCTGTTCCCTCTATGGGGCACTATTCACTTGGTCCTTTTTCAACTGCCTCCTCAGTCTGGGCTTGGTTGTTTTGGGTTTGGAGTTGTTGGGTTTTGTTTTTTTCTTTTGGAGGGCAGGACTCAAAAGAGCTGCTGAAATGGTGAAGGGTTAGAATCAGTTAAACACTGAAAAGCCAGCATATTACATTGTTCAGGGGGTTATATTGTTTCTGTCCCCTTTGGTACACCTGCCTCTGCAGCTTTTCCTCTTTACTTTTCAACTGACAGATGGCAATTCTCAGCACTTTAGCTATGTGCAGTTTCACCTTCTCAGTATTTTACCTACTCCACTTCCATTTGAAAGTAGAAACTTGAAAGGTCATTGACAAGGCAAAATGAACAATTTTGTTACAATTTTCTGATGCTGCAAACATTAGTAAAAGCCCAGTAAACCAGTGACTGTCACTCTAAATTGACGCTTGGGCTTTGGCAAAGAGGCTTTCATTAGCAACAGCAAGGTAAAATTATGGAAGGCTACATGGGTTTTTGTGTCTCTTGCTGAGTGACTCACTAGCCAATTCCTAGAACAGGCCATGATTTGTCATGGTGGCTTCAACAGGAAGTGTCGATGGCCACCCATCCGGATGGCTTTTAAAAGGGATTGGATAAATTCATAAAGGAAAAGGCTACCAGTAGCTACAGGCCTTGCTGGCTATGTGTTGCCTCCTTTAGTAGAGGTGACATGCCTTTGTACACCAGCTACTGGAGAGCTTGGGCAGGAGGAGGTCTTGTGTCCATCCTGTTGAGGGATCCTGTGGACAGCTGCTTTGCTACCATAGTGCTGGACTATGAAGAATGTAATTTCTTCCTGATGACCAAACAAGAAGGGTCAGTTATTTAGGGTTCTATTTTTATTTGTTTATTAGATTTGTTTAAAGGCCACCCAGTAGCATCATTCTATGAGAGAGACAAAATAGGATTGAAAATATAAAATAAGCTTCTATCAAGGAGGTCAGAATGTGTAATGATAAGCCTGGAGTCACTGGTTTGTCACCAGAAGTGTAGGTCAAAATAACCACGTACAGAAGTAACTGAATGTTTTCTGCTATGATTTTTTGTTTGTTTTTTACTAACTACAAAAAGCTAAATGCATAAATTTCTTGTGCCTGATGACTGTCACAGCTGGTCCCAACTGCAGATGGGCTCACTCTATTGTTAGTGTGCACCTTTGATAAAGAGTGTTTTAAAATAAAAACTTACTTGCTGGTGTTGCCGGTCTTAGTCAGACAATGAACACAGGGGATTTTTTTCCCTCAACAACTAAATGGACCTTGGGTCTGATCTAGCACAGTTCTTATGTTATTGCTGCCCCACAATAAGCCGGGAAGCAATCTGTATTTCACTACACAAAACCTCACTAGTTATCCATGATGGGCTACCTTGTTGTGTGAACCATGTTAATGTGAGGAAAAACTATATCCTGCAGAAACTTGACCTAGTTTT